AAAGAGTTGTCCCAAATCGCCCCTTCCTGCCAGAGTAGGATCAGAGAAGACTGGGTGATAACACCCCCACCTCCCCAGTCAGTGGAGATCCTGGGAAGTGTGAGCTCACACCTCGACCCAGAGGTAATGCTGCACAATTCACCTAACTGCTGGGGTGGTATCAGGAGGCTACTGGAAACTGAGGACTTCTGCCATCTCCCAGCAGCAACAGGGTCACCTCTGCTGTGGTATCAGTGGAGACCAAAATCCCATGAGGAGATTTTTCTGGTCTTCACTATAAGAACCTCATCGAGCTCCTTGAGGTAAAATTCATGAAAGTGGCTCTCCCCCGACTAGAAAAACCAGGCCCCCAAGAATTTTTTTCTCTCATGCTGGTCCTCCTTCAGCCTCCAGCAATTTATCACTTACCAGTTAAGTATTCCTACCAGTTGCTGGCTCTGGTGGTGGCTTCTGCTCCTGAGAAGCTGTGATTCTCCATACTCACCTGTCTCTTCACTTTCACGGGACCTGTTTGCTCCGTGACGTCAGTTCTCTGGTAGACCTAGAAAGACATGGTGATTATCAACTTGGTTCAGCTTTTTTCTTGTTTTAAGGGTGACAACTCCCAAGCTCTCTATGTGTTGTAGTAGAACTGGAAATTCTGTGTTCATTTTTTTCATTCTTTATTCTTTCTGTTCCTCAGACTGGATAATCTTTATTGATCTATCTTCGAATTCACTGGTTATTTCTTCTGCCTGCTCAGATCTGCTGTTAAGCTCCTCTAATGAATTTTTCCAGTTATACTTTCCAACTCAAAAATTTCTATTTGACTCTTTAAAAAATAATTTCTCTTTACTGATGTTCTCTATTGGACACATTGTTCTCATACTTTAGTTCTTTACACGTGGATTCCTTTGAAAATATTTTAAATAGTTGATTTGAAGACTGTGTCTAGTCAGGCCAATGCCTGGGCTTCCTAGGGAAAGTTTATTAATTGCTTTCCTTTACCTTTTATCAGTCTTACTTCTCTTTTTTTTTTCTCTTTCCTTTCCTTCCCTTTCTCTTTCTCTCTCCCTTCCCTTTCTCTACTTTCCCTTTCTCTTTTCTTTTCTTTCATCTTATAGTCTTTTGTTGAAAACTAGACATTTAATAGAATATGGCAACTCTGGAAATCTCGAAATCAGTTTCTCCCTGCTCTCTAAGCTTTGTTGTTAGTGACTTCTCTTGACAAATTCTGAAGTCTGTATTCTTTGTTGTATGTTGACACTTAAGTCTCTGTTGATTAGCTTCGTGATCAGATAATGATTGAACAAAGATTACCTTAAATTCCTGGAACCAGTAAATCTCCCAGTCTTTCATGCACCATGTTGGGGCACGTCTTCAGCAATTAGCCGAGCAGTTGAAAATTCTGCCATAGCCTTCACTTTTTGCTTGGGAAAAGCCTTAGGGTCAGTCAGAGGTGAATGGTTGTGTCTTTCTTGAGGATACTCAACAGCCTTAGACACATATATAGCACACATTCATGGCCTAGAGTCTCAGGAGTATGTCAAGGCTTTTCAAAACTCCTATGGAAAGGTGATTTACCAGCTTTCCTTTAAGCTTTTTGGCTACTCTGTGATTTGCCCCAAATGTTATCTATTGCCTCAGGTAGCCAAGAAGTTAAAACAATTGTAATTATTTTTGCCAAAATCCCTTTAGAGGAAGACTTTTTGTACTAGGAGAACTCCAAGTTAGGTCAAATACAGGTAGCTTTGCAAGAGAGGATTTTCAGGTGACCAAAAGATAGGTCAAGAATGACAGTTCTTTGGGAATGAGGCCTTAGAAGAGCTCTACCTCTACTTTCTCTTTGGTGGCTGCATTGGAGCTTGGGTTTTATTTTCAAGGTTGCCATGGAGCTGGACAGTGAATGATGGAACAATGCCACAAGCCTGCAGTTCATACTGAGATTCAGTTGTTCTTAAAAATGTTTCCCGAGCTGCTGTAAGCTTTTAATTTCCAGAGTCTGAAACAGACAGGTTTTTAAAAAATCACATATAATGTATTATTTGCCCCAGGGGTACAGGTCTGTGAACCAACAGGCTTACACATTTCACAGCACTCACCATAGCACATACCCTCCCAATGTCCATAACCCAACCACCCTATCCCTACCCCTCTACCTGCCAGAAACCCTCAATTTGTTTGGTAGTTTGTCTCCCTCCCAATCCCATCTTGTTTCATTTTTTTCCCTCCCTACCCCTGAGGGTCCCCTGCTCTGCATCTGAAATTTGTTGTATCAGGGAGATCATATGATAATTGTCTTTCTCTGATTGACTGACTTCACCTAGCATAATACCCTCGAGTTCCATCCATGTCATTGCAAATGTCAAGATTTCATTTCTTTTGATGGCTGCATAGTGTTCTACTGTGTATATATATATACCACATCTTCTTTATGCATTCATTTGTTGATGAACTTCTAGGTTCTTTCCATAGTTTGGCTATTGTGGACATTGCTGCTATAAACATTCCATTGCACATGCCCCTTTGGATCACTACATTTGTATCTTTAGGGTAAATACCCAGTAGTGCAATTGCTGGGTCATAGGGTAGCTCTATTTTAAACTTTTTGAGGAACCTCCATGCTATTTTCCAGAGTGGTTGCACCAGCTTGCATTTCCACCAATAGTGTAGAAGGGTTCCCCTTTCTCCGCATCCTCGCCAACATCTGTCATTTCCAGACATGTTAATTTTAGCCATTCTGGCTGGTGTGAGGTGGTATCTCACTGTGGTTTTGATTTCTATTTCCCTGTTGTTGAGTGATGTAGAGCACTTTTTCATGTGTCTGTTGGCCATTTGGATGTCTTCTTTCGAAATGTCTGTTCATGTCTTCTGCCCATTTCTTGATTGGATTCTTTGTTTTTTGGGTGTTGAGTTTGGTAAGTTCTTTATAGATTTTGGATACTAGCCCTTTATCTGATATGTCATTTGTGAATATCTTCTTGCGTTCTGTCAGTTGTCTTTTGGTTTTGTTGACTGTTTCCTTTGCTGTGCAAAAGCTTTTGGTCTTGATGAAGTCCCAGTAGTTCATTTTTACCCTTGCTTCCCTTGCCTTTGGCAATGTTTCTAGGAAGAAGTTGCTGCAGCTGAGGTTGAAGGGGTTGCTGCTTGTGTTCTCCTCAAGGATTTTAATGGATTCCTGTCTCACATTGAAGTCTCTCATCCATTTTGAGTCTATTTTTGTGTGTGGTGTAAGGAAATGGTCCAGTTTCATTCTTCTGCATGTGGCTGTCCAGTTTTCCCAACACCATTTGTTGAAGAGACTGAAAAGACAGTTTTTCTGTGTTAGGGTCCATGATCAAAGGAACAAGACTGATATAAAGCGAAAATCAAACAAAGCTTTATTTCATGCCAAGCATCAAAAATCAAACTGACCGGTCAGGGCTGTCTCTTACGAAAGGACGACGATGATCCCGACAAGGTCACTCCCAAGAAGGCTGCTCCGGACGAGGCTGCTCCGCAAATGAGGCCGCTCCCCTGTCGGAGCCGCTCCCAAGAAGAGGCCACTCCCAAGAAGGCCGCTGCTGATGAGGTCGCTCCCTGGACAGGGCCGCTCCCAAGAAGAGGCCACTCTGGAGGAAGCCGCTCCCAGGACGAGGCCTCTCCCAATGACGAAGAGGCAATGACGACAGCGACGATGACAAGGAGGACAACACCCATGACACAGACTCTGCTCCCCATGATGCCACTCTGACAAGGCTGCTCCCCAGAGGAGGCCACTGCTCTGGACAAGGCCGCTCACCGACGAGGCCACTCCCCAGTCGAGGCCGTTGCTAATGAGGTCGCTCCCTGGACAGGGCTGCTCCCGGGACAGGGCTGCTCCGGCAAGGCCGCTCTGGAGGAAGCCTCTTCCCCAATGATGCTGCTCCCGCAGGGCCGCTCACCGAGGAGGCCTCTTCCCAGACGAAGCCTCTCCCCGGAATGACGCACTTCCGGCAAGGCAGCGGCTCAGGGTTCGCCGGCGAGGTTGCTGGCGTCTAGGCCGTTCCCCGAGGCACCACTGCTGAGGGTCGCAGTGTGTGGGTGGGGCCACTGGCGTCGGGGCCGCTGGTGTCTTGGTGGTGGCGAGGCTGCTGGCGTCTCGGGGCTGCTGGGACCGCTGGCGTCTCGGGACCGCTGGCGTCTCGGGGCCGCTGGGACCGCTGGTGGCTCGGGACCGCTGGCGGCTCTGGGCCGCTGGCGTCGGGGCTGCTGGCGGCTTATAGCTCTGACAAGAGCTGTCACAGCTCCTACAGATCATCTTCTTCTCTCTCCGATGACTCTCCTTCTTCTGCTCCCGCCGACTCTGACTCTTCTTCTTCCTTCCACAGCTCTCCTTCTTCCCCCGACAGCCTCGCAGACCAACCTTTATGGGGGTGGTTGAGCCCCGCCCCTACACAGGCGGCCAATTGAATCCCAATTCACCCCAGTGGATATACGCGCGCCCCACCAATTGGACGTCTCCACCTGGCCTGCCCCGCCCCTACATCTGGGGTCCACAAGCCAGTTCCTCTGGGAGGGGCAGGCCCTTACATTCTGTCAGATTTTTCATTGCTTTTATAGAGAAAAGAAATTTTCAGGGTCTTACGCCACGAATTTTGTTGCTGAGTCCCCTGCTGTTTGTGACTTAACCCAGCGTTTAGCCAGAGCAACAAGGAGTAGCCCTTCATAGTTAAAATAATTTCCTCATTTAATTGAATCAGCTTTGCTGGGTGTGAATACCTTAAAATAGTAGAAACCTGATGTATAACAGACATTCTATTCATGCTGCTTTTTGAAATCTTTGTCTTAGCCATAAAATCTGATAATATTCTGAAGTCAGTGGACTTACATCAGGTTAACCTGGGTCTGGTTAAATGACTATGCTGTATATTATTCTATTGTGTTGCTACAACATAAAGTCTAACCAGTCTTCATAGTTGAACTTTTAGATATATGAGTGTTTTTAGATATTAGCCTCCCCACATTACTGTTCTCAGAGATTTGCTTTTGATTAACAGACTTTAAAAGGTTCTCTGAGGGAACAAAACTTGAAAAGGTGAGACAGAGTAAATAATGTAGAGTAGTAGTGGGACACTCATATTAGTACTGGTCCTGAAATATATCTGAACATGGAATGGAATTCAGAACTCCATGAGAAGGAGTTGGTGTCCAGAGTGTTGATGTCACACAGCCTCTGGCCTGACAGGCACGGAAGTTGGAGCTGGACAGTGGCTGTCCACTCTGGTCACACTCTCACGGAGACGATGTCTCTCCAAGCAAGCTGTTCAGACTTAGATCTTAATCACTCCTAAGAGGGACAATTAGAACTCTATCAAATTCAAAGTTTGAGGAATTCCTGATAAGATGTACCATTCCCTAAAGTTTATATTGATTATAATTTTTTTTTACTGCCGGCATTCATCGGGCATGCAAGAATTAGACGCTAGTAAGTATGTTTTGGCAGTGGATTGTTCTTCAACCCTTGCTCACTTTTACCCAGTTTCAGGGAGTGGGATTAAACGAATTGCTTATTCCGGAAAAACTGGATTTCCTGGGAGGATTAAGGAGGAAAATTGGCAGTTGTCAGTGGGAGAATAGAAGACTTTTCCTGAAACCTGTGTCATTTACAAAACGGATTTGTATATTCTCAGTGTTGTCGAACATAACATTTAAAAAAAGTCATCCCCATAACCATCCCCATAGGAGATTGTTAAGCCTGATGTAGAGGGAGGAGTTAATTCTGATTCTGAAAGTGACTGTATTTCAAGATGCCCAGGTATTTGGGAGTAAGACCATTTGTTTTAGTGAGACCTGTTACTTACAGCTGCACATTACTGCCTATGAAAGGAAGAAAAAGATATTCTCCTGTTTCTTTCTCTCTGGGTTTTACATTTCAGTCTCGTCTCATTCATAAATCCTTTTGCCCCTCTCTGGGCCAGTTAAGGGTCCTGTGCCTTCCTGGGAAAACTCATTTGTATTTTATATGCGCAATCATCTGTGGTTTGGGATTCAGTTCTTTTTCCACTCCAGGAAGGGTGGGGAGGGAAGCCACATTCATTGCTAGCCTGTACTTCTCTGCCTAGACAAAGCTAAGTCTTCTACAGTCAACACGATAATTATGTTCTGCATTGGTGGCGGTATCCTGGTGGCCATTCTTGTGCTGATGGGTGTTGTCATCTGTCTTTACTACAAAATAGCCGACGCGTTGAGGTGAGTGATGTGGGTAAGAGTGACAAATCCCCCCTCGGATAGGATACCTGGGGCTCCCGGCTTGCGCAAGGTCATTGCTTGCCCTGTAGTCCCACCCAGGGAGAGGTCAGGGACAGCAGGTGGGTTTGAAAAGGTAAAGCTGGGTGAGTATAGAATGTTGGTTTTTCCCCCTCTGGCTTCGCGCTGTGAGCTCATGAACAGAATGTTCTCGGCTGGGTGGCTCTGTGGTGCTTGGCTTGACTCCCCCTCACTGAGGGGCCCCTCGGCCGGCCTGCTCAGCACACTGGCTGGGCCCTCCCTCCGTGCCAGGCACCGCAGCCTGTGGCGGAGGCTGGGAACGAGTCTGTGCCTCAGAGTCCCTCAGAGGACACGCTGAACCGACCTCCTCTTCGCTGGGTGGGGGAGCTCTCACAGTGTTCTCTCATTCACTGTGCTTGGCCATGGGGACGGTGAGGTGGGCCTGTGGGACCGTGGGGAGGCCGAGCTGTGTGAAGATGCTGGGGGACACCTGCCCAGGGTGTGTAGATGGGACAAAAGATAATTAACTTTGGGGGAGAGGAGCCTTGCGATCTGGGAGGGATGGGTCGTTAGAAGCGGTGCTGCTCCCATCCTCGGGCAGGTAAGCCTGTGAGCTAGAAGGAGAATCCCTGAACGTGGGGGACGGCCCAGTGTGGCGCCTTCCCGGTCACGCTGTGCACTTGATGGGCCTGCAGCGATCAGCTGGGGGACCCTCGCTGGCAGGTCACTCTCCCTCGTTTGCTGTGACCTGACTTTACATTTCTAGCAATCCTAGGAGAGGTAGGGATTATATAGGAGCTTGGGACAGGGGCAGCAGGCTCTAGTTTCAGGCTGCTCTTATGATTTGATTGGCCCGAGGCCTAAACTTCACAGATACCCCTGACAACTGTGACCAGTGGACAGAGAAGAAAAATTCTAATGCCTTGCTTTGTGTATGTCTTTTCCTAAGACCTCCAAAGGCACCCCTTTGTTTGGCCTTAAAGAGTAATCCAGCCCTGCTCACTCAGGACAAGGTTGCTACAGCTGCAGCCCTCACCGCTGGGTCCTATCCCAACCTCCAGTGCTGTGACGAATGTAACTTATATGCCGACTTTGATAACCTGCCACCGTGCTTCTGTGACGTAAACGAGGGACTCTGACTTGGGTGGGCACAAATATCTTCATGCTCAGAATTTCTTTTTTAGTAGAAGTATTATTCAAGTCCAATTTTATAATGTTTACATTATGTATTATAGAACATATTTGTGTACTTTTGAATAAATGCAATATTGAAAATAATCTTCTGCCTCCAGTGTTGATGTTAGTTATAAATGTACTTACATATGTGTACTAGCCACTTTGGGACTTGGGGCACCCATCTTGCAATATGATAATATTGCAGTATGGGGAGAATTAGAGTAGAAAATAAAAGCATTCCGTCATCTCTAACATCAGAAGAAAAATATGTATATTGCTCTTAGAGCATTTCCAGTTTCAGACTCATCAAAAATTCCCAAGCTGGAATAGTTCATTTGGCTCTTCTCTTTATGATGGCTTCATTCACTTGCCTCTAGCTGCTCTGCTATGGAAGCTTACGTTACACTTTCCTGAAGGAGAACTGTCATCTTAGGGCAAGAACAAGCGAATGGGACATCTCTGGGTTTAGTGACCTTATAGGATGGGGTTGAGCCTGATGGTGTCTAAAGGACATTTCAAAGAACTTGAGATTCTTCCTTCTGTCATTCTCCCAAGTCTTCAGAAGCAGATTCCTCCTTTTTCGGTCACTTTCACACAGGTTGTCCTGATTCACCTAGCTGCCAGTGCCTTGAAGTGCGGACAGGCATCTCCGGCTGAATGGCAAAGCCCAGGATTCTCTTGACCCGAGCAGTAGGCAGTAGGACGTACTCCTCTCCACCTCTGCTCATCAGCACCCTTCTGTTCCTGATCTCTCTACGGAGGCTTGTGGACCCCCTTTTATTTTTCACAGACTCCCCATTTGTAACCACAGTTTGTACTTTCCCTTGCTAACGAAACCCTTGTTTTGTGAGCATCACATGTTGTACTTAATATAAAGAGTTAACTAGTAACAGGTAGTTAGATACTAGAGAGAGAAAAAGGACAATAGGAGGGAATGAAGGAAACAGCTTTTACCTCTAGGCTGATGGGGGAGAAGAGCGATGAAATAAGCAGTTTCAGTTCTTTCAGCAGAAGGCTTGGCTGATGAGGACATCTTAGAACTTGAGTGGTGGAGAACTTTGCCAGGAGTGTGGGAGCTGGAGCTGCTCTCACAGAGCAGCCCGTGGAATGGCTGAGAAAATCCAAGGCATCTGAGTGTCCTCTATCCCCGGAATGAGTTTCAGGAGGCAGATTCAAGGCTGCATCTTCCCTGGATCCTGCTCTGAGACCTTCCATCTGAAAGTGACCTCTCTCGAGTTCCTGAAGCATTTTCTCTGCCTCTCTGCCATTTGCTGCTCTGGCCTTGTCTCGGTGTTCACGGGCACTTTGATTTTCTCCTTGCCAGCGAGCTCCCATTTCCCCCAGACCTCACCTCGTGAGGAGCCCAGGACCCTGGAGGCCTTGTGTGAGCACGTTCTGTACAGGAATTCCATGGCATCCCAAGGTCCGTGAAGGAGGCAGGATGGGCCAAGGACTCTTAGAGACACCCCTCTCGTAGGCAGTAGGGACAGAGTGTAACATGCGGCTTTCAGAGTCAGATACTCTTGGTTCAAATCCAGCTCCACCTTTCACTAGCTCTGTGCCATTGGGAGAGTTTCTTAACCCCTCTGAGCCTCCTTTTTCTTGATGTAAACTGGGGGCTTGCGTAGGTGACCACGAGGATTAAACAAGCTAAAGTTTACTGACAAGCCCTGGGACCCCGTGACTGTGTGGTAAATTGCCGGCCTGAACCTCTGGTCTCCCGATCACCACCCCAGGGTTCTTTGCCCCCTGCTAGTCCCCCTCCCAGGAGAGTGACCACAGAGCTCTTATACCAGTGGTGGTGGCTCAGGGATCTAGGAGGTCATCCATAGGACACAAGGAGATGGCTTTAGTGAGGGTAGCATGGGGGTCTGTGGACACAGCTGAGGGTGAGCAGCCCTTAGTAATCAGAAGGGTCCCTACCCTGTACTCCTGCCCCCGGCTCACTCTCACACCAGGACACCCAGTCCCCATCTGGTACATGGCCAGCCGCAGAGGTCTCTGAGCTGACAGGATCCGAGTGGAGTGGTGCCAGGTACCTTGGTGAATGTCCAAGCTCGTGAGCACAGCTTCCCAATGTTACAGGTGCTGGCCTTGCCACTGTGGCACTGGTATGATGCCAAATGCCTATTCTGGGGGCCTGACTGGGAACAGTTCTCCTGGGTCACAGCCCTGCCTGGGAACTCGTGTCCTAGAGCCAAGTAAGGGTTTCTGGGCTTCAGGACAGTCTGAACAACATGGAAATTTGAGGGCATCCAGGAAGGGTTTAAAGGTAGAAATTCAATCTATAGCTATCATTATTACCTCCACAGAGCTGCTGGGAAGGTCCTTAAAATTGGCATTTCCTGCTTAAAAATCCCATTAAACTTCGAATAAAATCCAAATGTCTCATCTGACCTACAAGTACTTCACAATTGGACCATTATTTGCCTCTCCCTGCTTTACAGCCCACTTCCCTCCCCTTTACTTGTATCCACTGCACTGGCCTGCCTTTCCTTACTTTGTAGACATGCCCAACTGATTCCTGCCTCAGGGCCTTTGCACTTGCCCATTCTTTTGCCTAAAATGCTTCTCCTAAGTCCAGATTACAAATGAATGTCTCTCTCTTTCTGTTTGCTCAAATTTCATCTTTCTCAATTTCATGCTAATACTGTATTCCCCCTGCAATCTATGTCATCACTCTTTTTCCTTATATTTGTAGTACTTCTCACTATTTGTAATTTATTTCAGTTGTTTGTTGCCTATCTCCTCCACCTAGAAGTTCCATGGGGACAGGGACCGTGTGTCTCATGTTCAATTCAAAATCCCCAGACTGTAGAACAGTAACTAACAAATATTTTTGAATAAATGAATGAGTGAAAAGAGGGCAGTCCCATAGGTTTTTGTGAGCATGAGTTCCTAATGTCACAGGTGCTGGCCTTGCCACTACAGCACTGGTGTCACCTTGGACACCAGGATTCCTTTCTGTCATCTGTAAAACAGAGTGCCTAGGGGACTTTAGTTCACTTGCTCCAGGCTCTCCAGGCATAATGGTTTGAATTCCTGGAAGTTGAACCTGGACTTGTACTTCTTTTTCCTCCCCATCCTGGGCCACCTCCTCCTGTCTCTCAGTCTCAGTACCCTGGCCAGCATCAGAGTGACCTACATGGTCCCACATTTTGCTCAGGTGCCACCTCTCTCCCCAGCTGATCCTTTGACTTTTGTCTTTAGAGAAGAGCAGTGGAGGCTCAAGATATCAGTAGTGCTACCCACTCCATGACCTGCACAAGCAAGAGGGCCAAGGTTTGTCTCCAGGTCGGGGCCAGGAAGAATTACTCGGTGCTTACTGGGCGCCACGTGTTGGAGATCCCCTCCGAAGAGCTTTACTTGGGAACTTTCTGTTTACATTCCAGGAGTGAGTTGGGGAGAGCAAACACTCAGTGTTAGGGGTTGCTGATAAGAAATCAGTCACCAGCTGCTCCATTCTCACATAAATCTGGCCCTTACACGGTCAAACAGAGGCATTCCCTGACGGTCTCCAGAAAGCCCTGAAACCAGATTCGGAGCACTGGGAGGTATAAAAGCCTGCCCGCTCTTTCAGGCTGTTCCTCCCCTGACTACGATGGAGGCTGTGAGAAGGCTCGTCCTCTTGGCCCTCTTAACTGTGCCATGTTTGGCAGAGTTGATCTGGACCAAGTCTGAAGGTAAGAAAATTGAACCCGTTGTTTCCTATCAAAAGAAGGAGACCTCCTTTCCAGAGGCCTCTGCTGAAAGTTTTTCAAGTTTTAATATCTGCTAATGGCCTTAATACAGGGAACATTTATTTGTATGCTCTTGATATGATTTTGAATTAGTACTAAGGCTTTTCAGGCCTATATGACAATATACATAAAAATGTAAAAGGGTAAAGAATTTTACCTAATAATTTCACTCCTGTGAATTAAATATTTTGGAAATAATTATAAAAGTGCGCACAAACACACTGCATTTACCTAATGTAAAAAGCAATATAAATTTCCTTCATTTATTCTGTAAGTTGTAAAGGCAAACAAAGGTATATATTTTGGCGATTTCTTACAAATCGTAAGAAAGGTGCCCAGGATCCACCTTAAGAGAGAAAACAACTACCTGACATTTGTACACTAGGATGGTGTTTATGTTTAAAATATATACATTGGAGCATCTTTAAAAATCTGTAAGTAGGGGCGCCTGGGTGGCTCAGTGGGTTAAAGCCTCTGCCTTCGGCTGGGGACATGATCCCAGGGTCCTGGGGAGCCTGCTTCCTCCTCTCTCTCTGCCTGCCTCTCTTCCTACTTGTGATCTCTGTCAAATGAATAAAATCTTAAAAAAAAAATCTGGAAGTAGATGAGAAAAGAAAAGATTCTGGAAGTTTCTACAACAAGGTTTTAATGGTGATTTTTTTCTGAGAGGGTGGGATTATACTTTTATCTTTTTTTTAAAGATTTATTTATTTATTTATTTGACAGAGACACAGAGAGAGAGAGAGGGAACAGAAGCAGCAGGGCAGGGCGGGGATGGTGGGAGAGGGAGAAGAGGCTTCCTGCGGAGCAGGGAGTCCGATGTGGGCCTCCATCGCAGGACTCTGGGATCACAACCTGAGGCAAAGGCAGATGCTTAATGACTGAGCTACCCAGGGACCCTATACTTTTTTATACTTTAATTGTCTTTGCTTTCTGATATTTTTTACTAATAAACATAATAGTTATTGTTAGGGGAAAATAAATAAGAGACTTGTTATAAGGACATCACCCATCACCTGCCGATAAAAAGGGAAATGAAAAGCTTTTTGTTTCTAAGTGGAGTTTTTAACTCTTTGTTGGGTTCCATTATGAAGTATTTACTTTTCTTGTTCACATTCCATTACAGCCGCCACTGCTGCTCCTGCCACTCATCCTCCTCCTCCTTTTCTTTTAGTAACAGCTTTATTAGGATATAATTCATATACTATAAAATCCACTCTTCTAAAATGTAAAATTTACTGGTTTTTAGTATTCACACAGAATTGTGCAACTGTCACCATTCTTTAATTTGAGAACATTTTCATCATCCCAAAAAGAAACTATGTACCCATTAGCAGGTACTCCCCATTTTTCCAAATACTCTCAGCCCAAGGCAACCACTAATCTATTTTCTGTCTCTACAGATTTCCCTAATCAGGACTTTTCATACGCATGAAATCCTATAATCTGCGGTCTTTTGCTCAGCGTAATATTTACAAGACTCATTCATGCCGTACCATACATTAGTACCTCATTCCTTTTCATTGCTGAATAATCCTGCGTTGTATAGATAGACCCTGTTTTACGTCTTCGTCAGTTGATGCCCATTTGGGTTGTTTCCACTTATTTGTTATTTTGGCTAGTGCTGCTATAAATAAACATTAGTGTACACTTCTTTTTGTGAACATATGTTTTCATTCCTTTGGAGATATGCCTAGAAGAAACTAGAAGTAGAACTGCTGGGTTATGGTAACTCCCTGTTTCATCTTTTGAGGAATTGTCAGACCATTTTCCCAGCAGCTGTCCCATTTTACCTTCCCATGAGCTTTGCAGGAGGATTCCAATTTCTCTGCATCCTTGTCCAGACTCATTTACTTTGTGTTTTTCACTCTAGTTTTGTTTCGCATCTTTAATGGTGTAAAGTCATATTTCACTGTGGTTTTGAATTGCATTTCCCCGATGACTAATGATGTTGAGTATTTCTTCATGTGTTTATTGGCCTTTATGTGTTCTTTAGAGAATTATCTATTTTTGTTGTTTCTCTATTTTTTATTGGGTTGTCTTTTAATTGTTGAGTTATAAGAGTTCTTTATATATTGTACATATAGCTTCTTTGTAAAACCATCTTTCTTTAAGCCCTAATATAGTATTTATTTAATTAATTTTTTTAAAAAAGATTGTTTCTTCATTTGACACAGAGAAAGAGAGCACACAAGTAGGGGGAGCGGCAGGCAGATGGAGAGCAAGGAGCAGCCTCCCCACTGAGCAGGGAGCCCGATGTGGGGCTCAATTCCAGGACCCCGGGATCATGACCTGAGCGGAAGACAGACTCTCAACTGACTGAGCCATCCAGGCACCCCTATAGTCTTTATTTTTTATGATTCACATATAGAGAAATCATAAATTTTTTCTCCCTAAGGGCTCTAAGATGGGGAAATCATTGGATGGTGGCTTACTTTGGAATGAACTAAATACCATCACAATTATGTGCATGCTTGTATGAATATTACCTATGGAGGGTAGACTCCTAATTACTGAAGGAGAAGACTGGGGCAGCTGACTTTCTTCATTGTGAACTGTGGTCTCTCCCAGGCAAATCAAGCTGCCAGGCCAGCTTGGGAGGCTCCAGCCAGTCAGATGTCCACAGGGCCCTAATCCTGCAACTCAATCCCAATGAGGACTGCACCTGGACACTAGAAAGACCGGAAAACAAGAGCATCAGAATCATCTTTTCCTATTTCCAGTAAGTAGAGTCTTTATTTTCCAAAGAGGATGGTTGAACTCTGGCCACACTAGGGAGTGTGTGTCAGTAAAAATCAGCTGGTCCTAGAGATAAAGGTAACTCCCATGATGATGACGACGATGAAGATAGTGGTTGATAGTACTGACCGATGACTGGGCCCCTGGCTCTGGTCACAGAGGTCCTGGAGGTTGGTGTGGTTATCACAGGCACTGGGAGGTGGAGAACTTGTCTCAGGTTGCACAGTGAGTAGAATGACCGGCATTCGTACCCACCTAGTCTAGTACCAGATTCCAGGCCCTAAAACACTAAACTTGTAGTTCCAGTCTTTGCTACGCATTCTAATCAGCAGGGACCTCCCCCAAACCCAGATGTCCAGGCTGCACACCAGAGAATTAGATCAGAATCCCCGGGGGTGGGAACGAGGCCATCGGGTGTTTTTTCTTTAACTTTTCGTTTTGAAATCAGTACCTACTCACAAGCATCTTCTCTAAGTGTCCGGGTCACGGCAGCGTGAGGCCAAGCTGAGCACCGGGCCCTGCTCTAGGAGCCTCCCTCAGGGCTCGGGGAGAACTTCCTCAGTTAAGCCTCTCAACAGCTCTCAGGGTGGATGCAATCTAATCCCCACTCGGTGTGTAAGAAATCCCAGAGAAGTCACCTCATGTGCCCAAAGTCACAGATGACTACAGGTGGGAGAGGACTGGAATCCAAGCCACCTGGCTCCAGGGCTCAAAGTCTTACCCAATCCCCGTGGTGCTAAAGCTGGGGAGTCTCAGGGCCCCTCGACGGAGGGTTTTGCGAAAGTGCGGTTGCTGGGCCCTGGGCCCAGATTCTGGTCCAGGTGGGGGCGGCTGGGGCCCGAGAACGGGTGTGCAGAGGTCACGAGCCCAGGGGCGCTTCCTGCCGCCCCTGCTGGTCAAGGCGCCACGCGGGGAGGTGCGTGTCCCTATGCCCGGGCCGGGGAGCAGACTTCTCTGGGCCCTCATGGAAACAGAGGGCAAGGGGGACTTCCACGTTTCCTGGACTTCTAGGGCTACCGAGAATCCTCTGCATTGTTCTTGGTGTGTGGAGAGGGAGGGCATGGCGGCGCGGCAGAGGGAGGGAGGGGAGATGAGCTTTCCACACTTAGACGCTGCCTGTGTGCCGGGCCTGTGCCAGGCGCTTCCCGTTGAGAACACGGGAACCCCCACACCAGACGAAGGCTGTGACTCCCCATTTACAGAAGAGACTGAGGAAAAGAAATAGTGAATCGCTTGTGCAAGGTTCCACGGCAAGTGAGGGACTCAGGCTGGAGGGAGAACTGGGCTGTGTCCGCCCTCGCGTTTCCCTCCAGGGCACCGCGGCCCTCCGTCGGGATTCTGAGGGCGTGCGGAGAGACCCTGTCAGAACGGGCGGAAAACAGTCATCCTGCTCTGCCGTGCCCGACGCAGGGCCTGGGACTGTCCTTACGAATGAGGACGTGGGGCTGTGAGGAAGGAAGGGGCTGGGAAGAGGCGAAATCCGCTTTACCTTGAGAGAGGGGGCCGGGGAGGAAGAGCTGCTCCCCTTTCAACAGCCTTGGATGTCCAACCTCAAGGGGAATGAATTCTAAATAAGAAGATCCCACCCCACAATTCCCACACGCGCACGAGGAACAGGAGAGACGGACGTGGAAGGCAAGGGTCTTGGGTTCCAGACCCACCTTCCCCCCCGCCTGACTTTACAGAATCGTTGGCAAAGCGGTTCAGTCCCCTGAGGCATTTCTAGATGATGGAGTGTGGTTTGATGTTGAGGGAGGTGGGGGGTGGTTGGTCTTGGGGAGGTTGATACGAAACAGACATGCCATGCAGACAGGTGTCGGCATCCGGGGTGCCGCTGGGAGCAGCTGACACCCTGACCCCCCGCCTGCTGGCTCATCGCCAACCGTGGCGCGTTCTGTTCACAGGCTTGATCCTGACGGACGATGCGAAAGTGAAAACATTAAAGTTTTTGATGGAAACTCTACCAAGGGCTCTCTGCTGGGGCAAGTCTGCAGTAAACATGACTACATTCCTGTTTTTGAATCCTCATCCAATTCATTAACGATTCAAATCCTCACTGACTCTGTAAGAATTCAAAGAAGCGTCTTCATCTTCTACTACTTCTTCTCTTTTGGCAGCTGTGAGTTTTCACTTGTGCAACCTACGCACCGACCACCTACGAGCATAGAAAGTTACACATGCTCCTGCGTGGGTTGTCATAACCTCAAGTCTGAGTTCTCCGTTTGTGAGAGCAGAGGTTTTCTAACTCGCGTGCGTGAGAGTCACCCGGAGAGCTTGTGAAATCAGATCCCTGCTTCCCCCTCCCACCCCAGCGACTCTGCTTCACTGGTTCTGGGATGGAGCCCATGACTTTGCCTTTCTAACTCGCTCCCGGTGAGACAGATGGAAGGAGCTGATCAGAGGGCTGCACGCCGGGGTGCACTGTGTGACAGCCCAAAGCAGACTCTCCAAGGTCGGCCTGTTTCAGAATAACCCCGAGATCCCTTGAAACCCCCATTCAGGGACCGCTCCTCCCTCTCTGGTCTGGTTCAGAAGATCTCCGTTGGGGCTCGAGAACCTTCACCTTTGACAAGGTCCCCACATATCTCTGACCAAGATTAGGAAGCAAACGATGAGAAATGCTGACCTAACTCATCAGGCAATCAGATGTTACCGTGGTTCTGCATTCCCAGCACCCAGATTCCACTACAACGCAAAGCAGAATGCTAAGAAATTCTGCAAGTGGGTTCGTGAGCAAAGCTCCACTCTGGTTTGCCTCCTGAGGCCCAGAGCCGATCGTGTCTCTTCCTCTTAAACCACGCCAATCTCAGGAGTGGAGCAGTCACGGTTTTCCAGAGCCAGACCGAGGCCCCCTTTTCAGGCCTTACCTCTGGCCACTATCTGATGTGCCTCCTGTGCTTTAGCTGACCTCGACTGCTTTATGTCCCCCGAAAGAGAGCCTTCGGTGTGGCCTGCCTGTCTTTCTCTTGTCCAGCTGCTTGCTTCCTGATGGCGGGGGAGGGGGAGACCGAGCGTGGGTTCGCGTCGGCTACATCTGAGCTGACGTGGAAAGAAAGTGTAGGGTCGGGGGAGGTGAGAACCACAGGAGGAGGACTCCTGTCTGCTGGAACCGACAGTCCGAGGAGCTGCAGGAAGAAAGGACAGGCTGGCATAGCAGGTCACGTGGAGTGTTGATGAGGCTGAAAAGCGGGCCTGGGGCCAAGTGAGGAAGAGCCTCCAACGACAGTCCTGAGAGCGTGATGTCATTTTCTGTGGCTTAGTCCATGCCATGGAGGGTCTCTAAAGCTGGGACAGATCTTACAGTGTCCCTTTGCCCTGAAGCAGTGGTCAGAAAATCCAGTGATAAAGAAGAATGAAAATTTCCCAATTCGAAAGAGGACAATGGAGTGAAATTTGGGTGGGGTAGGGAATTGCTTATTCAGCTCAGTGCACAGCAGGGAAACTAAATGAAGTCTGTCTTGATTTACATTCTCGGTCACCCTCACATCCCTTTCAGCTGTTCCAGAATGTGGTGGTTACTTGGACTCCTTGGAAGGCTCTTTTACCAGCCCCAATTACCCGAACTCGCATCCTGAGCTGGCTTACTGCGTGTGGCACATACAAGTGGAGAAAGGTTACAAGATAAAACTAAACTTCAGAGACATTTTGTAAGTACTGTGGTCCATTTCTGCTGTTGGCAAAAAGCAGAGAGCCCACCTGGCAAAGGGGGAACCTGGAGAAGAGAAATTATGTGAGCCCCCTCATAGATGGGCACTTTTCATAGCATTGGTGTATAGAGAAAACACTGATACTATTACAGTGAACTAGGTTGTCTATTTAAAAAAAATTTTTTAAAGGTTTTATTTATTTGAGAGAGAGAGAAAGGGAGAGAGAGAGAGAGAGAGAGAGAGAGCATGAGAAGAGGGAGGATTAGAGGGAGAAGCAGACTCCTTGCTAAGCAGGGAGCCCCATGCGGGACTCGATCCCGGGACTCCAGGATCATGACCTGAGCCGAAGGCCAGTTGCTTAACCAACTGAGCCACCCAGGTGCACTGTTTGTCTATTTTGCTGAAGATTCTGAAGTCACATCAGGGACTGGCAAAGCCCTAGGTTTGTCCTAAACCTGAGCTACCATCACAAGGAAAACTCTTTAATCACTTGACTCTGATGCTGAGAATTGAATTGGTTTGGAAAGCTTTTTCACCAGAGGCCCTACTTCTCTAGCTTAGAAGTGGATGAACACTGCAGATTTGATTTCATTGCTGTCTATGATGGTCCCTCCACCTCCTCTGGCCTGATTGGACAAGTGTGTGGCCGTACGAGGCCCACCTTTGAATCCTCGTCAGACTCGTTGACCGTGGTGCTATCAACAGATTACGCCAACTCCTACCGGGGCTTCTCTGCTTCCTACACTTCCATTTATGCAGAAAATATCAACACTAGTAAGTCACATTCCTTAGCTATTTGGAGCTCTTTGAAGATTGTGTCCATAGAAACTGCTCCTTAATTCTTAGCCTACCTGTGGCTATCCCTATTTGCAAGCCTGTCATAGATCCTTTGGAATATATACTCATAATCTGAACCTTGAGAAGTATGTTGCTTAGTATGAGAGGAAATGAATGGTTTTTATTAACTTAAAAAAGATTTCTGTAAAAAATGTGGGCTGTTTTCTGCAATGCCTTGCCTAAAGGCACAACCAAAAATAATAGATTTACAGAATCAAGTTGCAGACAAGGTCACAGTGAACCTTGTAGAAGGCGGACGAACTGCTCTGCTGGCTCAGGCTTCCGATTATGGTTTAAAGCAAAAAGGGTTTTGAGTTTTTATATTGTCTTCTGTATATACAGCTTTTCAAGATCCAAAGTTCTAGCTGCCATAAACATAATCATCCTTTTTTTTTTTTTTTTCTGAACAGCATCTTTAACTTGCTCCTCTGACAAGATGAGGGCTATCATAAGTAAATCCTACCTGGCGTCACTTAAATACAGAGAGAATAACTTACACCTGAATGACCCAACTTGCAGACCGAAAATCTCAAACGTGGTGGAATTTTCTTTTCCTCTTGATGGATGTGGTACGATCAAAAAGGTAAAGTGAGGCACTGAGCTGGGTTTTGTCAAATGCCAGTGGTGTGTTGGTGATGCTGGCAATGCAGGGCTTTCTGGTGGCCCTAAAGAACATGTCCCAAAGTTTTAGGGCTCAACTCATGGCGAACCTGTGGGAACATTTGCGTGCTCTCACTCATTTAAACACGACTGCCAAGTCGCCACATTTAGTCTCAGGGTAACTAGAGGTGGTTCTCTTTCCTGGAAGGTGAAGAACTCGGAGAACTCGTGGAAGAATGTCTGGACACCTAGATGCCGCGGGTGTCGCAGCCCAGCAGCAGTACTTGTGTGGAAACTGATTAGAGCTCACATTTAGCAAAGATCTAGTTGGATTGTTATGATCTCCTTCTTTCCCCTGTAAAGGGAGAAGGTAAAAACATGAGCCTTGTTTGAGAGATATAGAACATAAGTTTGTGATTTGTTTTCCATTTTCTAGAACTTTAAGTTCTCAAACATTTGCAACCTGTAAGTCCCTTTAGGCTGTATACCCTAAACTTGCCATTCATGTCATTAGACAACAACCTTGTCAAGAAGAATGGCAACTACTCCAGAGAATGGATAAGAATAGAAGTAAATCATCATTTTCTGCTCCAAATGAACACCCGGGCCCTTATCTGTACACCCGGAGGGGAGGCATCCTGGGGAAACCTACTGCAAGACTTCTGTCTGCACACACTTGGGAAACCGCCCAGGGAGCCACCCTGATACAAAGCTACTTATGGAAGAAGCCCTTGCATTACAGGGTCTCAAGTCTTTCTAGGGGTGGAAGTTGGTGTTCAGAATTGCTTTTAACATAACTGAAAAAAGTTCCAATTCTGTCTTCAGGTCTTTCTAAGCCAAGCTCTATCTCTCACCTCACACCTTTTCTTCCTACCCAGAATGTTTCTTAAATAAAGCACTTTGGAGCCTTAGAGTACCCTGATAGGAAAGCGGCTATCTTGTGATTTCAGGAAATCATGTCTCTGATTGCAGATGTTTTTCGTATCTGGGCTCTAAACGATTACCGGCCTTGCCGTACAGCATTTGAATTCCATGTCACTGCAGGTGGAGGGTCACTCGGTCACTTACACCAACGTGATCACTTTCATCCCGTCCCCCACGTCGGAAGTGATCACCCGCCAGAAGCATCTCCAGATCATTCTGAAGTGTGAAATGGAATCGAATTCTACTGTGGAGATGATGTATGTAACGGAAGATGATGTAATACAAAATCAAAGCGCCCTGGGAAAATACAACACAAGCATGGCTCTTTTTGAATCCAATTCATTCGAAAAGCCTATACTGGAGTCACCATATTATGTGGATTTGAACGAAACTCTTTTTGTGCAAGTCAGTCTGCACACCTCCGATCCAAATTTGGTGGTATTTCTGGATACTTGCATTGCCTCTCCCATGCCTGACTTTGCATCTCCAACCTATGACTTGATCAGGAGTGGGTACGTACTGCTGGGTGACATGCTTTTCCGAGGATTAACAGTGATTTGAATGAGGTAGTGTTGTTTGTGCATGGATCCATGATTCATCTATGCATACTGTATAATTTTTTTCTAGTACTGCTACCATGGAATTTAGTAAATGTAATCATTTTATGAAATATAGTTATTGTGCACTAATTACAGATAACTTAAGTTAGAGCATTTCTACAACCACAGCCCATATCCCCTAGAATTTTAAGTCTATTTCCAAAATTTATTTGCTGGTAGAAACAAGTTTATTTTTTGTTGAGGATGATTTATGTTTTCATTTTTACTTTTTTTCTGCACATTTTGGTTATTTTCAACAAAATCCCAGAAGAGTATTTCACTTGTTCCAACTTCAGAACAGAAGTGTAATGAAATTTATAAAGTATCTGGGGCACTCCTTCCTTAAAAATAAAACAAAACAAAATAGTGAAGGGGTGCTGGCTGTTGCAATCGGTAGAGCTTATGACTCTTAATCTCAAGGTTATGAGTTTAAGCTCCACATCGGGCGAGCCTACTTTAAAAAAGAAAAAAATTTTTTTAAGTTTTTTTTTTTTTTTAAAGGAAAGGTTTCCTTTTTTTTTCTATAAGCTGATGGACTTAAACTACATCAACCATATTGATATCTTCATAGCAAGTGTCTAAGGTAAGGTGTAAGAGCTCTAATATATCTGAATTGATTTTCTAACTAACTCATGTGGACTAGAAATGTTATTGCTGGAGGGAATTTTATTTTACCCAGGAATCAGGTCCATAGCCTTAGCTCAATACAGTCTGAGCTAAAGACACTGTCTTTTTTTTACTATTTTTTTTTTCTCTCCAAATTTTTATCTAAATTCTAGTTAGTTAGAGGATATAGTGTAATATCAGCTTCAGGAGTAGAATTGAACAATTCATCACTTAACATACAATGCACCTGATCTCATCTGATCTCAGAAGATAAGCGGGGTCAGGCCTGGTTTGTACTTGGATGGGAGACATTGTCTTTCTGGAGAAATTTTTGACCCACAGATCAGACAGTTCAAAGAAAACTTTGTATCATCTCTTTTCAATACTGAAAAGACTGAACTGGAAATTTTCTAAATGTGCCGTAAATTCTGTTCTAGATGCATTCAAGATGACACTTGTATGATGTATCCGTTATCTGGACACTATGGAAGATTCCAATTTAACGCCTTTAAATTCTTGAGAAGTCTGGGCTCCGTATATCTCCAGTGTAAGATTTTGATATGTGACAGTGGGGACCATCAGTCTCGCTGCAACCAAGGCTGTGTCTCTAGAAGGAAAAGAGACCTTTCTTCATACAAATGGAAGACTGATTCTGTCATAGGACCTATTCGTCTGAAAAGGGATCGAAGTGCAAGTGGAAATCCAGGTAAGAAAAAAGCTATTTCATGAACTAAGAATACCTCATGGTTCATAAAATTCTGCTCAAATGTATTCCTTCTTAAGCCTGTATAGTTTAGAGATTTATAGTATTTGTAGGAAAGCCCATAATCAGGTAAGCACACAAGGTTAATTTTTCTTTCTGTTAGTGGATAAAATGAAAGCCATGTACATTTTAAGCATATGATGCTCTGATAATTCACCATTATTTCTGTGGCTTCTCAGGATAAATGTAATGTCCTTACTTCTAAAAACAACAGTTTCCCTTAGCTTTCTGACTTATTATAGCAACACCATGGCAGATAACAGAATCAAAAGCAATGTATTTTAATTCCTAAATGAGTTGAATCAGATGAACCAGGATCTCACACAAATCACCTTTTTGGGAACACAAAAAGATTTTTTTCTAAAACAGAGAAAATAGCATATTTTCAACACAGCCCTGCTTCTTTTTAAAGGTTGGAAACATGAGCCCTGCCAGGTCACAGAACAGTGAATGCCCAAGGACAAGCCGTGGCTGAATGTCTTCCATAAACCAGTTACATAGCTACATAGTTACGTAATTACGTAGTTACATAGTTACATGAAAAGTGTTGATGAGAATTTATCTCATATGAAAATGATCCTGGCATAAGAGAATCTTATGACCTCTGTCTTTATTATTATTTGAATGGATTGGGAAGAAGTAGGATTCTAGTTTGTAGCAAAATATTTCTATGACAAAAACAAAAGAGAACAAAAATTAAATCCAGTAATTTTATAAATATAGTCACTAAAAAGACAGTGCATCTATGGATATTGGGCTAGATTAGTTGAAAATTTGTGAATGAAAGTTATAGAAATATCATGCACATTAGAAGAGTACCCTTTTCCTGTTTGAAGAGAAGAAATTAGTTGTGTCTCCATAGATCAAATGTATTTTGGGGACTTTGGGAAATAGTGACCATCAGTAGATGGACCTGCACTTCTGTTTGGTTTTGATGCTTAAATTCCACAAGTTTCTCACCTTATGTCAGGGCAACAAAGTAGCTATTTAAATAAACAAATGTAAATACATCTTGTCTTTTAAATGAAACAGAAACATACATTAATTGAAAGAGTTGCTAGCAGTTTCCGTAGGCTGTTTTGGCATTATGTATCATGAGGTCCTTCATTGATGCCTAAGACTCGGAGGCTATGGAGAGATACCCATTCGCAAAAATTTTGTAATGCCAGGTAATACTTTTCTTTAAGTGATTTTTATCTGGTTTCCACTTACAGGATTTCAGGACCAAATACACAGAGAAGAAACTCAGAGTCAATCTTTTGACAGTCTGCATCTGTTTTCATTCATGGTCCTTGCTCTGAATGTTGTGATGGTGGCCGTGATCGTAGCAAGGCATTTTGTGAATCAGAGAACAGACTATAAATACGAGAAGCTTCAGAATATTAACTGACTGTTCAGCCTTCAGTGAGACCCATTTTCCCAAATGCCAAAGGAAATTTCCCCTAGCTACACATTATGAATAAATTGGAGAGAGCCGCATAAAAATGACACCGTTCCTGGTCAGAGCTCACTGCCTTGCAGGGGTGATTGAAATGAACAAACATTATGTCCATGCTAAGAACGAAAGCCACCAAAATACCAGATGAATTAGAAACGTCCTTTTTCACAAGCATGAAAACAGTCTCCATCAATATTAGGTGAAAGGATGAAGGTTGTTTTTACTTAAGTCTTCGGCATTAGATATATTTGTTTCCTAGATGCAAATATGCTACCTTTTGAAATGTACACGAGGGTTACAGTTTTTGAAACTAAGTGTGACAGAGAGACTGACATCTTGTTTATTCACATGCCTCACTCTAATTCAGAGCCTCGGCATTTTACAACTTGAACACATCTCAGAGAAGGGCTCTGGAAAGAAAAAAAGCTATTTAATGATCTAAGGACAGGAAAGAAGAAACTGACTATAAAAGGAGAGCCTTCTGTGTGGTTTCTAGGTTAATGAATGAAAACAATTCTCCTCCCATTTACCACCAAACACCAAAGCCAAATGTAACCCTAAAAGGAGAAGTCCGTTCTGGCTGACGCTTTCCTATCCACAGTATAGAAGCCTCCATGTGCACAAACGTACTCACACCACACATGTTGAATTCTTTGTCCTAGGAGGACAGTATAACTCGTCCCCACCATCCAACACCAACATGTTTTCGGGTTCTAATACACATCCAAAGAGGCAACCACATTTCTGAATACCCAGGGACACTCCTTGACTCCCAGACACTTAGATTTGATACCACGCATGCCCAGGGAGTACACCACGACTAAGAGCATCTCTACTCTTATCGCACGAGTTGTTAGGGGCCTGCTGGGTTTCCACCTCCAAATGAAAACAGATCTTCCCCATTTTCTTTTTAGTATTTCCACATGGATCTTCTAAGCCCTTGCCCCATGTGGCCATGTGGTCCAGTCTCCTCTGTGTTCGTCTATATGACTAAAGGGAGCTACTGCAAAGTTCTTTTCCAACCTAACGTGAAAGCACTTGAGAATGTAATGAGAACAGGCGAGTCAGATTCAGTCAAGGCAGTGTGGTCCCGGGCTGAGCGCCGACTTTCTGTCAGGAACTGCGTGAAGCTGTGCGGGTGGCCAGGCACAGCAGTGTGATACCAAGAAGACCGTCACATAGTGTGACTTGGGAGATAGTGTAAAACTGTATCACCATGAGTCACAAACATTTTGCAGTGGACCTACTGAGCTATACCAGCACATCAGGGATAGAAAATAATACACAGCAGAAAGTGTTTTTCTTCAGGAGAAACGGCAGTAAAGTAAGTACAGGTCCCAGATCTGAAGTGGGTGGCCTGGGTTTTAGTTCTTCCCCTTACCTGGTGGGTTACCTTGGCCAGGTCACCCTCAGCCTTGATTTCCACAATTTAAAATGAGGAAGGTAGCAGCTGCGCCCCCCCCCCCCAGCTTGTTGTGCTCTCGAGGGTTGAATGAGGAGATGAGCTATGCTCAGGGGCTGCCTCTGTACCACTCGCTGATGGTGATGAGTCCCCCCGGGCAGCCCCCAAGTCCTGTTTCTGAATTTGCTTCCTCGGACCACGCCTGGTACAGACCGTTGTAGGCTGGGTCCTGGGAGACAGCCTCTGGTGGAGAGGTTTGTGTGCCGAAGGGTTCCTGGGGCATGGGCCTAGCCTCGAGCCCTGGCAGGGGAAGGTAAGCAGGCCTGGCAGGGGGTTGGTGAATGGCGATGCAGGGGCAGCAAAAAGCCCGGCCAACGCCCTGCATCCTGGGCTCGGCTGGCCTGTCAGAGACATCCCCACACTGGGGCTCGGTACCCCCGCCAAATGACACACCTCTATCCACCAGCCATTGGTTGAAGGCTGCAAACGTGGCCAAGGCAGCTGCCTTGAGCTGAGGGAATCCCCACAGAGTCTTGGGGCTGAGAGCCATCAGCCACCCACACTCCCGGCAGCCTGAACAATGGTTCTACCGGAGGGAGATACGGCTATCACACCAGAGTGGCCACCACGCTCACTTCCTAGAGGAACAGGATTTTCTGAATGTCCCACAGCATTCCACTCAGACTCTATGCTGTATTCAAGAGACATGCTTTTTTTTTTTTTCTTTAAGATTTTATTTATTGATTTGAGAGAGAGAGCATGAGGGAGGGCAGAGGGAGAGGGACAAGCAGACTCCACATGGAGTAGGGAGCCTGATGCGGGGCCCGATGCCAGGACCCTGAGATCATGACCTGAGCTGAAGGCAGATGGTTAACAGACTGAGCCACCCAGGCGTCCCCAAGAGATATGTTTAACAGAGCATTTCAGCAAGGCTAAAAGCAAAACGTGCGATGGAATACCAACATGTGCGGACAAGATGGGAGGGTCTCCTCATTTCTACAGGGCAGGGCGGAAGCCAGGCCACCTTCAGGGCCTCTGCTGCCCCTCCCCCCCAGGAAGGTGGCATCGCCTTGTTACCTCTGGGTCGGGGGTAGAGGTCCTGGCTCTCTATAATGTCCCCTCAGACACCACCCCAGAGAAGTCTCAGAGGGGTGGTCTTCCTGCCTGGTGGGGTTGGAAGCCCAGCCTCCCCACCTGGTCTCCACTTGACATGGGGGTGTTGGGGAGGCCTCGGTTACTGCGCAGAGATGATAGCACCTGGGGAGGGGAGGGAAGGTGGAAGGGATCCTGGGGGCAGGAGGAAGTCTAGGCTCCCCACTTCACCTTTGTTGGCTGGGCTGAGGTAGGGCCACAGTTTTACCCATGGCTCACGATCTTGCCTGGGTACCCCTTCACCAGTCCTTTGGCTAGAGAGAGCAGGCTTCTCTTGAGGCTTTTTTCTGGGTTGCTGGTTTCTCCCTGTTGAGTGCTTTTTGATCCATAAAGCATGGACTGCTCAGCAGTGACCACGGCCTTCACACTTCAGCGTTCTCAGAATCCGCTGGAACGCTATTGGAGAGGACAGCTTCCTGGTTCCCGCCTGCTGGACCACACCTGCAGAAGCTCACCGGGAGCTCACTGGACACTTATTTATTTATTCTTAAAAGGTCAGTCCTTTCAGTCTCAACACTTTTCACAAGAGGCATTTGTTAAAAGCTATAAGATGCTAACTTTGGAAGCTGTTGGCTTCCCACTTCCTCAACGCATATGGGATAGATGCAGTTAATGGGCAGGTAAGCTTCAGAAAGGAGAAGCTCTAGCAGCTCAGAGGCCCTTGGAAAACCCCTTAATTCATCTGGGGTGCTTGTGTGAAATAGACATCTGATGCTCAGATCATGTGACCGAAGATGAAGGTGCTTGGTGACGAGTGATTCCCTTTTGACTTAAAGATGCTGCCTTCACCAGACTGACCAGCAACTACATCTCATCAACTTCTACCAGGTAGAAGCAGGGAACACCATCAAAATACTGTCAGTATCCTATTTATCAAGATGGCTACCGATAAAGGGCACATCTGGCATGAGACTGAGATGTTCCCCTCTAGAGGCAATGTCCACCCTTGGGTCACATGTCAGATTTTCATCAGGACTTCAGGGTTAGCTCCCAGCCTCCCCCAAACTCTGCTCTCCCCTCTGGGAGCCTTGACCATACTGTACTCTCATCTCATACATGCTATTGAATGGCAGAGATGGGAACAATTTCTTGGACTTGAGGACTCATTTTAAGTGTTGCTATTGAATACTTCTTGACAAGCAAAAAAACAAAACTAAACTATGTCCAAGACTCAACTCACCCTTTCTTACTTTCTTCCCCTCCCTCCCTCTCTTCCTTTTTTCCCTTCCTTCCTTCTTCCCTCCCTCCCTTTTCCTTCCTTCCTCCCTTCCTTCCTCTTTTATTCTTTCTTTCTTTTTCATCTTTTGAGAGAATCTTAAGCAGGCTCCATGCCCAGCACAGGGGACTTACATGACTCTGAGATGATTGACCTGAGCCAAAATCAAGAGTCGGGTACTTAACCAACTGAGCCACCCAGGTGCCCCAAGACAGTTTCTTTAAAGATAGCTTTGAGGGAACTGAGTACAGCCCAGACCTCTTTCTGTTAAGATATAAAGAGAACTTGGATAAAGCGGTGCTGCCTGCTTTTTCTATGAGGGGTGTGGGATATGCAAACCTTTCTTTCTGTGTCCTCAGGCTTCCTGTGTCCTCAGGTTTCCTATAAAGCCTTGAGGATCTGGGGCACAGACCGAGTGTGTGATAAAAGCAGTCACAGGCGGTTCATGTGATTGTGTCTCCAAATCTCATTTGCGGTCAATGTCAAAGCTGTCACCCAAACCCAACAAAGCTGAGGCACGGTGTGTTCCCTTTGGAACGGGCAAGAAGAGCTTGTTTTGAGTAGGTGACAATGAATAAACGAGCAAATGACGTATTCAATTCAACTAACCAGTTATTAGGGTTTAAAAAAAAAAAAAGAGCAGTGACTTCCCAACACTTAAGTTTATTTTTCATAAGACTCTTAGCAAGATCTGAAAAGAAATTCTCACACCACCCAGGGGACAGAAAAAAAAAAAAAAAGGATCCATCTACTAGCATCTGAACATTAAGGAGTCAATTTAATAAAATCTTTAAATTGACAATTTGGTATATAGAGAGAACTCTGTTCTTTAGAACGTATGTAGTTCTTGGTAGTGAAGGATTAGAAGATGTAGCATCTCTAGCCTGCAAACAGAGTGACTGCTTTACAAGTTTAAAAATTAGAGAAGGTTTATGTAGCATCGAAACTCAGAGAAAACCTCCTTAGCTGTTTCTTTTACCTGTGGCTCCATGGGCAGCTTCTGGTTTGTCAAACTTATCACTTTATTCAGGGAAATAGGCTTTTCTTTCTAATAACAGATTTGTGTGAAAAGTGAAGAAATCACATAAGGTTCTTACTCTGACCAGTCCCTCTGTGGATTTCCAGTGGCCCCACCACTTGGAAATGCTCAGTCTGTTCTTCTGGGGTCACCACATGGCCTGCATCCCTCTTACTCTGTTCTACACAGCCCTGGGAGCAGCGGGAGGAGTGGTCCCCCACTTTGCACACAGCGACTTCACACTGCAGGTAGATCACATCATAGTTCCTCAGAAAGTTGAAGGTGTTGAACTTGAACTGGGCTGTGTTCTTCTGTTGGGAGTGCAGGTTGATATAGGTATTGTCTTTGATGCACCTGATAGGAGAAAAACCCCCAGCCACAAGGATTAATTTGAAGTATGATGGGAATTCACCCTGACTCCAATAATCAGACCAATGAATTCCAAACAGAGTTCTTCCCCCTACCCACTCTTTCTTTCATAAAGAAACTTAAAATACTACCATGAGTAGAAAAACCACTGTTCCTGAGCAGAAGTAGAAGCTAACAGTAAAGTAAACATAATAAAAAACAACGTAATTAACTTCTAACTAGAGCTGTTGCCTTCTGAAGGCCCATTCTATTCTATTTTGTCCAAAGGGGAGATTAAAGGTAGTGGTTATATTATTTGAAGGTGAAACTTAGATTATTTAAAAATGTGTTTCTTAGAGCGCCTGGTTGGCTCAGTCTGTTAAGCATCTGCCTTCGGCTCAGGTCATGATCCCGGAGTCCTGGGATGGAGCCCCGCATCAGGCTCTCTGCTCAGCAGGGAGCCTGCTTTCCCCTCTCTCTCTGCCTGCCTCTCTGCCTACTTGTGATCTCTCTCTCTGCCAAATAAATAAGTAAAATCTTTTTAAAAAATGTGTTTTGTCAACCCTAACACAACTATGGAAAAAGTTCAGTGAGAAGCATAAATGATACATCAAGAAAGGAGATAAAATGGAATAATATAAAATGCTCCATTAAATCCAGAGAAGGCAGCAAAAGGAGAGAGGGGGTAGAAACAAAGAACAAATGCAACAAGTAGAAAACAGTTACCAAGATGGCAGATTTTCATCCAACTCTATCAATAATCACTTTATTTTAAAAAAAATTTATTTATCTATTTGAGAGAGGGAGAAAGAGAATGAGAGTGTGAGCTGGGGGAAGAGGGAGAGGGAGAGAGAGAATCTTAAGCAGGCTCCATGCTCAGTGTGGAGCCCTACTTGAGACTCAATCTTAATGGCCCTGAGATCATGACCTGAGCTGAAATCAAGAGTTGGATGCTTAACCTACTGAGCCACCCAGATGCCCCTCAATAATCACTTTAAATGTGATTATTAAATATGCCACTTTAAAGATACAGATTGCCAGAGCAGATAAAATGAAAACAAAAACAAGAAAACCCAAGATCCAACTACTGTTATCTACAAGACACCCACTTTAAATATAAAGCCCTAGAAAAGGGATGGAGAAAGATTTACCATGCTAATACTAATCAAAAGAGAGCTGGAATAGCTACATTAATTTGAGACAAAACAGAGTTCAGAGCCAGGACAATTATCAGGAATGAAGAGGGGTATTGCATAACAATAAAAGGATCAGCCCTCTCAAAAAACGTAACAGTAAGCTGGGAAAACTGGACAGCTATATACAGAAGAATGAACTCGACCATTCTCTTACACCATACACAAAGATAAACTCAAAATGGATGAAAGACCTCAAGGTGAAACAGGAATCCATCTAAATCCTGGAGGAGAACATAGGCAGTAACCTCTTTGCAATCACAGCAACTTCTTTCAAGACATGTCTCCAAACACAAGAAAACAAAAGCGAAAATGAACTTTTGGTACTTTACCAAGATAAAAAGCTTCTGCACAGCAGAGAAAACAGTCAACAAAACAAAGAGGCAGACCATGAAATGGGAGAAGATATTTGCAAATGACAGTACAGATAAAGGGCTGATATCCTAGATCTATAAAGAACTTCTCAAACTCAATACCCCAAAAACAAATAATAAAGTCAAAAAATGGTCAGAAGACATGAACAGACACTTCTCAAAAGAGGACATACAAATGGCTAACAGATAAAAAAATGTTCATCATCATGGGAAATTCAAATCAAAACCACATTGAGATACTACCTTACACCAGTTAGAATGGCAAAAATTGACAAGGCAGGAAAAAACAAGTGTTGGAGAGGATGTGGAGAAAGGGGAAACCTCTTACACTGCTGGTGGGAATGCAAGTTGGTCAGCCACTTTGAAAAACAGTGTGAAGATTCCTTAAAAAATTCAAAATAGAGCTACCCCATGACCCTGCAATTGCACTACTGGGTATTTACCTCAAAGATACAGATGTAGTGAAAAGAAGGGGCACATGTAGCAGCAATGTCCACAATAGCCAAACTGCAGAAGGAGCTGAGATACCCTTCAACAGATGAGTGGATAAAGAAGATATGGTCCATATACACAATGGAATATTATTCAGCCATCAGAAAGAATGAATACCCCATTTTTGCATCAACATGGAATTGGATTGGGGGAGATTATGCTGAGTGAAATAAGTCAAACAGAGAAAGTCAATTATATGGTTTCACTTGTTTGTGGAACATAAGGAATAGCATGGAGGACATTTGGAGAAGGAAGGGGAAAATGAAGGGGGAGAATCTGAGGGGGAGACAAACCACGAGAGACTATGGACTCTGGGAAACAAAATGAGGGTTTCGGGGTGGGGTGGGGGGATGGGTTAGCCCGGTGATGGGTATTGAGGAGAGCACAGATTGCAAGGAGCCCTGGGTGTTAGATGCAAACAATGAATCATGGAACACTACATCAAAAGCTAATGATGTACTGTGTGGGGACTAACATCAAAAAAAAAAAAAACCGAAAAGATATAACAATCCTTAATGTATACACATGTAACAACAGAATGTCAAAATGTCTGAGACAAAAAGTAAGGGAACTGCAAAGAGAAATCTACAAGCCCACTGTGATGGCTGGAGGCTCCGCACCCCTCTGTCTAGAACTGACACATCCAGCAGAAAATCAGGAAGGACACAAATGATCTGGAAAGGACCACTGATCAGCTAGACTAACTGACAGCTGTAGAACACTCCATCCAGCCACAGCAGAATACAATCCTTCTCAAGCCCATGCGGAACATTCCCCAGGACAGACACCTTCTGGACCACACAGCACACCTTAGCAAATTCACAGAAAAGAAATCACACCAAAGACATAGTCTGATCACAGTGGAATTGAATTAGAACTCAGTCACAGAAAGGTTGTTGGAGAATTCTTATTTGGAAATGAAACAACACACTTCTAACTGATCCAGAGGTAAAAGAAAACGTCTCAAGAAAAATGTACATGCCATTTTGAGCTGCGTGAAATTGAATATACAATTTATGAGGATCAAATCAAATGCATGAATTGGAAAAGAAGAAAGATCTAAAATCAATAACCTAAGACTCTGCCGGAGGAAATTAGACCAAAAAAGAGTAATTTGAACCTAAAGCAGACAGAAGAATAAAGTGTTAGTTGTTATATTCTGGCACCAAACTGTGCCTCCCTCCTTGATCTCTCTGTAAGGAGAACTGAAAGGGAAGAGCTTTCTCATTCAGAGGCTCTGTGCACTTTAACGCCTCATCTGTGCACTTCGTATGCTCACGCTTCCTCCACACTGCGCTTTCTTGCCTCGCCCCTGGCTTTCGGAAACAGGTACCATGATGATGCATCTCCCGTGGCTCTCCCCACTTCAAAGCTACCACCAGTAAGTGATGCAATTTTGTCCTTTTGTACTGGTTGCCAATCGCCCATCCGTACTAAGGGTTTTGCTCCTGTGAGAGGGCAAAGGAGCTACAGAGGCAAACAACCTCCCGAAGTCCTCATTTGGTGAATCCTTTGTTTAACTAAAGGAGCCAGAATAAATCTCATCACTCTAAGAGTTTAGGCTGAGAAAACCCAACAACCCATCAAGGTAGACCAGATGCCCTGAGAGCCTGAAGCACAAACGAACGGCGAGCTAATAAAGTTATAAAACACAAAGGGAAGGGAGGCACAGGCAAGAAGGGGTGAGACAGGACCCCAGGGTCCCAGACAACAAGGACTCTGCTCAGCTGAGAAGCCACAGGTCCCCCAAAGGAATGCCACGTGAAGATCAGCCAGTCGTGGAGGGCTTTCCATTCTCCTTACCCTCGCCGGATCAAATCGTACTTGACGGTCGTAAAATCATGGGGATCTGGAGAAGCCACGCAGGTATCCACGAAGAGCCTCAGGGTGGGGTTGGGGCTGTGGAGTGTGGCCTGAAGGAAGACCGCTTTCTTCAGGCTGGCGTAGTGTGGTCCCGGGCTCCTCACATGCTGGGACGTGGGCAACTCAAGGAAGGATATGGACACGTCATAGCCAGCGTTCTCCCTGGGGACCTCAGCCCCAGGAGTGACTTCAGCTGCAGACGGGCCGTCCACCCTGCAGGTGAACTTGAGCTGAGGTACCCTATGCCTCACGAAGACTCGGCCGGGGTGGCCCTGGATTCGGCCTCTGACGGAGCTGGAGTAGCTGAGGGAGCCGAGCCTTTCCTGGGAGGACGAGAGGGGAGAGCTGCTGGCCAGGGCTTGACAGACACCTTTCTGCAGGCGCAGAGGCCTCTCCCTCACAGTCCTGCTCGGCGCCAGCTCGACGATGAGCAGGAAGCCGGAGGCCTCAGGCCCACAGTCTGTGGTATATCAGGCCCGGATGGGGTGACGCTATGTCCTCGATGCTGGGAGTTCAGAGCGCGGGCCAGGAGCCTCCCGTGAGACTCCTTTCTTCCCTCATGTGAGGGCCAAGCTGTGCTGGTGTGAGGTGGGCAGGAGGTCCGTGCTGGCTACTTGGTGCTCCCTCTGCTGAAGTCTCCCCCACCTGCCCTCCCGTCAGCCTGTGGTAGTCTCAGGCGAGCACAGACCACGGCCCCCTGCTGCCCATCTCCTCCCTTCCAGCTCCTCCTTCTCTTGGCTCCAGACGCGTTCTGGCTCCTTGGGAGCTGTGGGCCTGCCCCTGCTCACCTCAGGCTCAGCCTTGCTCCTTCAAATCCAGCGTGACTTGAAGGGCTAAGGGGGTGCTGACGGCTGGCGTGCAGAGTGCCATTGTCTCTGGAAGCCGGGTCCCCACGGCCCTGTGTGCGGCCCAGAGACTCAGCCTGCCCCGCGACGCTGGTTCAAGGAAGCCCCTGGTTGTGTGACTCAGATCCTCGACGCTCTGCCTTGGAAGCTCTGAGGACTGCCCCCCGCCCCCCGTCAGCTCCAGCCAGGTCTGCCTTTCTAGACCTTTGCTTTCCTTTCCTACTCCTTCCCCTGCCCCTTCCCAGTCCCCAGTATGAAATTTTAATACAATGAAGACACTCTGCGTTCTGCACGAATACCTGTGCTTTATCCAGAAAAACAGATTTTTTTCTTGTTCCCCTGTAGAACAAGTTTCTGCCTTGCCCCTTGAAGCAGGTCTTGCCCTGATGGACAGCTTAGAAGGAAAGCTCAACTCCTTGACCACACAGCCCTGCCCCTTCCGAGGGGACCCAGCGCTTCCTGGTGCGGAGGGTCTCTGGTCTCTTCTTCTCCTCCTCGAGCCCTCCAAGCTTGCTGCTGCGGCCGGCACAGGCTGCCCACTGCAGGGGCCCTCCTCCTGCTCCCCTCTCCCTAGCTGCACTCCTCCCCAGGCCTCGGCTCCTTGGCCATCCTAGTCCAAGAGGCCTTCCTTCCACCCCACACCATCTCCTGTTCCCTTCCTTGTTTTGCTGTCTTCTGAGCTCTGTAAAATGATTCTCTTATGTGCGCTTGTTCAGTGCCTGTCTCCCTTTTCTTGAACGTGAGGGTTGTGGAGCAGGACCCCCGTTTTCCATTGTGTCCTCAGCACCTAGAAGGTTGCGCAGCCACTGACTGAAATCACGAGTTCTGTGAAGGTGTGCTCGCCGTGGGTGGCCCAGGACTGGCCATCACCCGGAGGGTTCCTGACCTGCTGTGTCGTCTGGCCCCCGTGTGGTGAGAGCTGGGCCAGCCAGAGCCATAGACAGTGGCAGGGTCCTCTCCGATGGCCTAGAAGTTTCTGGGGTGCCTGCCTCCCAGACACCAGGGGGCTTCTGGCATGGCCCCTGGGGCAGAAACCTCTGAGGTAAAAACTAGACATTTCAGGGCAAAAAGGGTAAGAATGACCGTGATCTGCATAATCAAATAGACACAATGTGAAGTCGGGAGTCAGCGTGCTCACTGGGCACCATGCAGACTGTTTGAATGAATTAACCTCCAGCAGTGCCAAAGGTTTGCTGTTTTTGTGTGTGCATCTAAATATGGAAACAGAAGAAGAGAGGAACAACCTGGAGATCTTGCTGTGGAATGTGCTACATTGTTAGATACACCGAGAAGAAGATTTCATAGTTAGACACTGTCCTATATTCTTGGTCTACTTGTTTCCTTAACTTCCATGACACTGTTCTGTGAAATAAGCTGGTGGTTAAGGAACAGGAAATAAACATATACATTTCATTATCCCCTCCTGTCCTGGATATATGCTTTCTATGTGTGGAAATACAGCTGCTTGCCTGGTTAGAACCCAGCAGTCAGATGGACAGATCATTGGTTCTCCCCCATGCGCAGCACTGTGGCCTGCCCGGAGGAGGTGTGCACTGAAGGTGAATAAGGAAGCATGTCATGGAAAATGCTTGGCTTTGGAGCTAAGAGAACATCGTCCGTCCATCTGTCGGATGTTTACCCATCCAGGCATCCACCAGCTTTCAGCACTTATTACAGGGTATTCCAAATTCAGCATGTGTTCCAAATTCCCAAAAGGCAGGAAAATTTCGGACACATTACTGAGTGCTCCAGGTCTCACCGAACTCGGAAACAAAGTCCTGGCGGCTGTGCCTTTCTGCTGTCCCTGCCAGGTTTTGGACAGGTGGTTGAATTTTCCAAATAGCTCTCCTTGGCCTCCGTCCTCAGAAGGGTACCACCCCCTCTGCAGTTTCTTACCTGTCTGAGGGTGCCACAGCGACCGTAGGGGATGTTGAAGATCAGGTAGCGCCCGGTGACTTGGGGGCGGCACAGCTCATCATTTAAGTGGATGTCCCAAGAGGAGTAGCCCAGCCTCCGGAGATAGCCTCGGTCAATGGCGACTTGGAAGAGGTGAGGCAGGCAGGAGAGCTGGGCTGCAGGAGGAGTGTGGGAAGAAACGCACAAAGACAGTCTGGCCAGCGGCCGCGCAGGGGCATGTGGGTGTGTGCTTGCTTTACAAAGCATGGGCGGTGCCTCCGGTGGGGGCTGCTTCAGCTCTCATCACCCCCTACCCGTGACTTGACTCTCACTGAATTTATGTCCCTCATTCTCCAAAAGTCACACCAGATCCTGGGAGTCCTACCCACGGCACGTGTCCTGCGGTCTGAGTCAGAGCTTTGTCTAACGATTTAAAGGACGACCCACTTCCCATGTTGAGGACGCCCGAGGTTGAGCACACATCTATCCGAGGCTTTGTATGAGAGATGTTTTGGGAAAAGAGTGGCAGCAAAGCAGGAGGAAGCGTGCGTGTGAAGAGGCTTCTTCCCCAACTCCTAAGGCCCACAAGTGGCTGGAGATGACAGAGGTCTCAGTGGAGGCGCAGGAAAGCCCATTCTTTCTCCCCGGGACACCTGCTCTCTCCGCTCCCACTTCCCGCAGCCTGGAGGGGAGGGCTTACCCTTGTCCTTGGGTACAGCAGAGGCAGCCGGACCTGGTGAGGGGAGATGGGTGAGAAGCCAAGGTCAGCTGTGCTGACACCCTGACCTGGAGGAGGCCGTGGCCAGCAGCAGAATGGCAGTGCGGGAAATGGGCTCATTGGATTTAGCTATGGCAGCTGGAGTACAGTGGCTTGAACATACTTCAGGCCGATGGGGAGGGAAAGAGGGCCTGGGGCCTCCTGATGGAGACCGAGGAAGGGATTTCTGTGCGGGTGCAGTGTTGACAATACTGGTGTCGCCAATGCTGACATTTGTTAGAGCAAGAGAATAGTCAATTCAGGCTTTGCAGGTTCTAAACACCGTCGTTTGAAGGAATCTGGCAGATGTCCCTTTCCATGCTCATGGCATGCTTGGGATCTCAGCCTGGGACATAAGCAGTCTGTGGCTCTCAAAGGCCTCTCCAGCTCAGAAGCAAGGCAGGACAGCAACCCAGGGCCAGGGCCCATCCCAGGAAGCGTGGCTGGCCACATTCACTCAACCCCTTCAGATACCGTTGGCCCCAGACCTCGGGTCCTTTGGCGGCTATACCCAAGGAAACCCCTTGGCATATATTCCAAGAGTGGAAAACGAATTACTCTTTCCAGTGGGCCTGCTGACAGCAAAAGGAAAGGTTGGAACTGTGAGCACACAGTGAAAGTGAGGGCCTGGGAGATAAGGATCCCAGGGCCCCAGGCTGACTTGCTCATAAGGCTGTCTGCGGGATGGTTTGTCTAGGGGACTCTGATGATTTTTCTAGTCATGATCAATCCTATGAAGGGCAAGAGTACCTCCCCCACAAAGATAAAAGCATTGGGAGTGATTCCTTTGTTTGCCCGTGAAAAACTAAGTATGAAACAGACAAAGGAGCTCGTTCATCAAATCTTAGAATTCTGCGACTTTTTGAGGTTTACCTGGGTAAATTTAGGACAAATATAAGACAGTACTACTCCACAGAGAAGAGGGCCAACCTCTGGAGGTCGAATGCCAAGATGGGTATTGGGTGGTAATTAAAAAGTCCTCCAGGAGAGGGATAGGCCACATCTTGGATGAAAGGGACACAAAGGCAGCCCAAGGTACTGTGGGGTTCTGACTTCTGAGGGCGGGGTCAAGGGTGTCCACTTAAGATTGCGCCCTTGATGACCTTGTCAGAAATTGAATAAGGGTCTTTGTGGTCTGACAGCCTCAAGTTCTGTGTCCTTAATCATTGCATTATACGGCCGCTTCTTCTTTCGACCTCATAATCTTGTAGCCCTATTTCAGAACAAATACAGCCCTGAATTGGAATTTGACAAAAGTGATGAATAAAACCACAAGGCTGTGCCATGAAAATATTCAGCACAGCAGTTGTGTGACAAATACGCCCTTGCTACCCTAGCAGCTGGCGCCTTGGCCAACACACAGTCCCTTGACCTTCAGAGCACGGGCAGAGGAAGAGGCACAGTCCCCGGGGACAAACCTGCGCAGACCACGCCCGCGTCCTCCTGGTGCCGGCAGTTGTGCCGCGCCCAGCCGGAGTGGCCGCAGTGGTCCAGCGCGTCTTCGGTGCCCGAGCAGCGCATGTCGTCCAGCAGGATGGGCCCCGAGCCCGGGCCGAAGCGGCCGCGCCCTGGGGCTGCCAGAGCTCGGCCGCAACCCAGCAGCCGGCACACGACATGAGCATCCCTGATGTCCCAGTGGTCGTCGCACACTGTGCCCCACACGCCCTCGTGGCGGACCTCAACCCGGCCCTCACAGCGGCTGCGCCCATCCGCCAAGCGCAGGGACCGGTCTGCGGGAGGAGAGAAAGCAAGTCAGGGGACACCGGTGACAGGCGCCACAGCCAACCTCCGCTACCGTGCACCTCCGCGTGGTGCATCGTTTGCCGCGGAAGAAATGACACTGCGATGAGATCCACCATGTCTGTTGGTGCTGCCCTCCCTTTCTGTCTCTCTCCTAACCCCCACCCCATGGCGCTCCCTGTCTCATAGAAAGCCAAACCTGCATTAAGCAAAGCCCTCAAAGAATGGAGGGTATTGTCAGCCTAGTTGCCCAGATACCTAAGATTTTAATCATTAAAAATACTAGAAAGAAAGAAAACAAAACGGCAAAATCCTCCCATCTTTGGAGTAGAATTGTTGAGTCACTGGCTTGACTTAGTGAACAAAATCTATCTCATGAAATTTCTTTTACTCTTGGTGAATAAAAGCCAACATTGGAGCTGTAAAATGTGTCTTCTGTGAGCCAGCTTTTCCACTTCTAGGTGTTTGCTGGAGATAAATGAAAATGTGCACTGAAAGATTTGCACACAGCAGAATTCTCCACCGGAGGAAAAAAACTGGGGAGCACCGACCTGTCTACCCGCAGGAGAGGGGATAAATTGCAGAATATCTACCCAATGGAATATTACTAAGCAATAAAAAGGAACAAAGTACCCATAGGAACCATCCGGACAAATCTCAGAAACAATTTGTTAAGCAAGAGAAGTCAGACACAAAAGAGCACTTATTATTTGATTCCATTTATATGAGATTCTAGAAACACAAAACTAATCTACAGGGACCAAAAGCAGACCAGTGGTTGCCTGGGGGATTTACTGCAAAGGGAGGCAAAGGAGCTTTTCAGGGTGATGGGAATGCTCTGTGTCTTGATTGTGGTGGTCGCATAGGTGGATGCATTAGAAAAATCTCATAGATGTGTGCAATTCATTGTATATAAATGTACTTCGAAATGGGATTTAAAAAGTAAAAATAATTTTAAAAATCTATATTATGTTGGCGGTTCCACACCGGTAGATGTGTGTAAAATGATTTGTCTTCATATAAAGTGGGTGCTGGTGACTGTTTTCCAACCTTCCTGCTTTCCTTGGCCCACAGAAGATGTTTCATGATAGCTAATAAATGCCACTGGCGGTGGGTTATGGTATCCTGGTTTAGGATAATTGTTTGCTCCTCATTTAATTTGTTGCTTGTGATTTTGGAGCAAGATAACCATGCTTGCCTGAACTATGAATAAAGGCAAATATCTTTTCTGCAAGGTCCCAGGAAGTGAATGTGGGGCTTCCGACCCCCAAAGGGGTGTGTGTGTGTGTGTGTACACGCACATCTGTGTCTGCACATATCGACTTATTAGCTCATAAGGGTGTTCTGTAGAGAGTAGCAACTTTGAAAAAAAATACAACCCTTTATTAATAATGATTTGATAATTTAAGTGCTGAGAACAAAAGCAAATTACCAGGTAAAGGGGTCATGTCTTCGCCAATTGAAATTGTAACTGTAAGAAAGAAAGACCAAGCTTAAAAAGTGCATATCATCAAAGTCACATATTTATAGTCAAACCTGAAAAGGAGCCACACATTTTCTCAAGGTTTAGGCACTAGTCGTTTTGTTTGAGTTTCTGCATGGGTTTAGGTGCAGAAATGCTGCCCACTAAGTTTTATTTTCTTATCGAAATGTAACAAGTGGTGTGTCCTGCTATTCTACAAAAAGAAAATGATTTGATAAATGGTCAGAAAAGAAGCCTTTCAAATATACAGAATTTTTATAGGAAGAGTATGAAAGTGTTAGATTTTGTAGGAAAAATATTTATTGGGGTGGCCTATGTGAGTCAGGTCAATATAAATGTATTTAAAAACTCTAAAGAATAAAATAATTGATCAGGACAATTAAATGAAGCAAACCAATCAGATTTCTCAGAAACATTTTTAGGTAAGAGAAAGATCATATCTGAGAGGTGTACTTCCACATGAAATACACAGAGGGAAGCAAAAAAGTGACAGTGAATTTTAGGATAGAGTGCAGTTGTATAAATTACTATACAACTAAGGGTTAATCTAGCAACAGGCATATGATCTTTACCAGGTGATGGTGTCACTTTTGTTGAAATCAGATTTACGGCTGCCAAAAAAAAGAGAGAAAAAATTTTTTTCTAGTCCAAAGAAAGCATTAACATCGCATGTCATTGAAATTTCACACCGTACACTCCAAGTTTATGAAAATAATTCTGACCCATAAGCTGCATAGAACAGAACCCACCCTGCTTATTTATCATGTGGACGTACACATCCGGGAGTAAAACGGTATATGAGAAGTTGGCACTTTGCCAGAGAGACAAACCATTCCCATTTTGAGCGTCCATACTGTGTCCTATAATTTCCTACTCGAATCCCTACAGCAGCTGTTCCCGGGAAGTACTGTCTGTATGTTAGAGATGAGGAAATCGAGACTCAGAGAGCTTGTAAACATGCCTGGGACATCTTCAGTTCTGACCTGGGACACCCCAGAACATGCACCCTTTCTACAGCATTCTGCTTTTCAGAAGCATAAAATGTGGGCATGGCAATCATTCTCTGCTGTCACCTTCATCTTAGACTTTTAGTCTCCAGGACTGTGGAAAATAAATTTCTGCTGTTTAAGCCACATGGTCTGTGATACTTAGTTATGGCTGCCTGAGTTAAAACAGTGGCAAGTTTCCTCCTCCTCTGGGCCTCATTTTCCTCCAAAACAAGGGGAGTGGTTCAGCATTTTACTCCTCGAATGTGGCCTGTGACCAGCAGGATAAGCATCACCTGGGAGCCTGTGAGAAATGCAGAATCCAGCCTCCATCTGGAGCCATGAAATCCCAAACTGCATTTTACCAAGTTCTCCAGGTCATTCACTTGTACATGAACATTTGAGAGTTGTTGCCATGGGCCATCTCTAACGTGTCGTCCAGGATTGATGCTTAATGCTATTTTATCCTACTCATCCTGTCCCTGCACCTGCTTCCACCGTGTTCAGAATCATAACCACTGTGGGTTCCAGTGGCCTGGAACCAACCAGACCTCCCTCTCCTCTCTCCTGACCGCTCTTGGGGAAATAAGAGTATGTTTTCTCTGAGTGTGTCCGCTCCTGCTGGGCTGTGGTTTCTCAGAAAGTCACTCACCAGGGCTACTGCAGAAAGTAGAGACCCTACCTGCTGAAGAGGCCTTTTCTCCTGGAGTGGGAGTTGTATCTGCAAACAAAGAAGACTCAAATATCAGTGAAAAGACAATGGAAAGTTTTGGTTTGAACAACAGTGTGGTAGAAGATGGAATTGCACATGGGTAGAACCAACACTATCACAATCTAGTTCTCTTGCATTTTGGTGTGTGGTATGGGTCAAAGCACCACCTGTAACCTAACACAGATCACCAGGCTAGTGGAGGTGGGGGGCCCTGCCCTTGCCTCCCATGAGCACATCTGATTAAGACCAGACCAACAAGCAGAGGGAATGTCCTAGCAGAGGGACCACTTTTGTGACTGTGGATGGATGAAGAGAACATGAAGCTTCATTTCTATGAAAAGGACTTCTGTTTACATATCAGAGCTTCTGCCACAGACAAAATATTCACTACCTGTGTTCATTTGTCCAACAGAAAGAGGGAGAGTTGATCATATTTAACTTAAGAATTGTGACAGACAGAAAACATTACCAGAGGGTGTGTCCACTTCTGCTGAAGTTGAAGATACATCTGTATAGGGACAGAGAAAATAAGACACTTAAAAATGGGAGAAAGGACTCTTCAGTGTGTCTTTTCATTCAGTCTACTTTGTGGTCAACATGGTCATTATGTGGGCTCATTTTCAAAATCGAATATGGCAAGTGAGAAGCTGGTCTCATGATTTAAACCACACGACAAGAGAACTTTTACCAGAGGGAGAGGTCACTTCTGCTGAGGATGAAGATGTATCTAAAAAAGAGAAGAGAAGACCTAAAAACCAGCCGAGAGGAGAGGACACTTGGGAGTTTGTTCTTACTGAGGCTGGGCTGGGGATAAGCTTTCCATGGAACAGCCTAGACTGATGAATGGAAGTCCAAGAAGAGGCACTTAATAGGGCAGGAGACAGTGTCTTACCTGGTGTGGAGGTCACAGTGGTTGCTACTAAATCTGCAGGAGAATAAAAATAACAAAGCAACAATAAGACAGCCATATCAGGCCTACGTGTTGCTAAATACAAGAGACATAAAGGTGGCCATCCTAGATCAGTATAACTGGCCTGGCTTGTCTCCGGCTTTCCAGACAGGGGCATCCCTAGATCCTCCACTGCCTCCAGGCCACCTCTCCAGTCCTTGGGTTTCCATTCCTCTTGCTCACCCTTTACTTCTCCCCTTGGAGAAGGTGAACATTACCTACTTAGAGGGCAACAACCATTGGTCCAAGTTTCTCCCAATATGTGTTTATCTAACAGAGATTCTGTAATTGGAGGGATTCCTACACCTGGTCCTCCCTCCTCTCCTTGAATGGTTGGAAGGCAGTGACACAGGAAAGGGTGAGCTCTTGGACTGTCCCAAGACCCAGACTGAGGGTAAGGAGGGGATGGCAGGTCCATTTGCCTCTTGTACTAAAGGTTGCCCTCCACCCAAGCCTTCTCAAGAGTATGGGCCATATTTTGGTCTTACTCAATTGCTTTAGCACCTAGAGTAGGGGAGAGCACCCTCTTTATTGTCCTCCCCACAAATAAACCTCTAACACTCTATTTGTAAAATTGTTCACCCCAAAGTCACATTAGGAACTCCTCAGATATCATTGCAACCAGCATCACTCAAGATTATTGTATAAGACAAAAGTTACTTGTTACCATGGTCAACTCTGCATCTCTCAATACCTTGGCACAGAGCCTGGCACAAGACCATCCTCACCAAATGCTGGACAAATGTCTAAGGAGGATCAGTCAAAGCTGTGGTTTGGCTCTCCACCATCCTGCCAACACCCATGCCGTGACTGGTTTCCAGGAGGAACTCCCACCATGGGCAGCTGATGTTAGATCAACAGTCTATCCAGTGAATGACTTATTTTTGAGTTTGGGAATTGGCTAAACTAATTTTTCCCTTGGCCCACGCATTTAGCTGGGCTTCCTGGAACTCATTCCCTATCAGGGGGTAAAGAGGTGGCCTATGTGAGTCAGGTCAATAGAAACATATTTAAAGTCTCTAAAGAATAAAATAATTTGATCAGGACAGAAACAATTGTGAAATGAGCTCCCTGGAAAACCAAACATGATAATTTATAGCAAGTAAGATGGATAGAACCCACAATAACACCAAAATTACCTGTTGAGGTGGTTACAGTAATAGTAGAAGATTCTGGAAATGAGAAAAGGCAATTGATCAAAACCTGCCAAATGGCAAAAATAATTGTTTTACAGTTAACCTGTTTTCTTCTCTCTGTCCCTGGAACATAGGAATCAAGGACTTCATTTATGTAACAATGGATTTTGATTCATCCTTTCCTTCTATGGCAGACACTGTGCTAGATACTGGAGTCAAACAACAAAGAAATCAAGACAGGGCTCCTACTCTGTCAAAGTGCAGCTGTGACCAGTGCTATGAAGGGGAGATATGTGATGCTCTGAGAACCTGTGACAGGTGATCTCACCAGCCAGCGAGTTCCCGTCTCTATCTTCCTGAGAGGCAATACCACCACCTTGGGCCTGTCACAGGGCTTGGCCCAGACCGGGCACTCTGCTCAAAGACAGTGACAACCTGACACTCTCCGCACTCCCCCCCTCCCAAACTGTCCTGGTTGACATGGCACAGGCAGTCTTGCTGACCCATCTGCCTATATTTGCAGTGGGCAGAGGGTATTACCAGGTGAAGAAGTCACTTCCGCTGAAGTAGACATTATGCCTAAACAGGAAACACAAACAGGAAAATCAATCGATCAGAAAGTTTTTATGCATTTTCCAGTCCTACACAATTCTGCCTTTCCTATGATCTCATCTACCTGGTTTTGTTGTTGGAAAAATTCAAGTGTGAAGACGAGTTACTTCCCAACATCCTGAATAAAAGTAGAGGCACCCAAAGCAAAACATGGACCACTATAAATGAAGACTTTCCTGAAATGGAGCACATTTCCCAGTCCTGTCCTTTTAAGCAGAAGACATAGTCCAACCTGCATGACGGAGGCTCCTGGGGAAGAAATCACTGTGGCTCAGGGCTGTCCTACTGGGGTACCTCCAGGGATGTTGAGGTTAGTAGGCATTTGGGGTCCATATCATAACATTTAGAGAGTCTGGTGACGTTTACTGGGTGTTGGAACACGTCTATGGCTGTCAGACGATCTGTTAGCATTTCCTGCTATTGCCACTGTGGCTGTTCTCTGAGTAGCTCTTCTACCTCCCTGTCCCCGTGCCCCTCCCTGGCTTGTTGTCTTTCATAAGACACAGTGGGGACACCATGTGTGTGTAGGAAGGGAGAACCACAGGCTCTGGGGATACTCTCATGTGAGCTTGAATGTTGGGACCCAAACTTGGCTGTGTAGAGGCCCTGTGTCTATTTCCGGATTATAGTCTGTTTTCCAAGGGATTAACTCAGCCAAGCCACCCCTGGACAAATAGTAAAAGTGTCCTATCTAGGTAGAATTTCAACACAGCAATATCCCTGAAAGGCGGGAAGAGGACAAATCAGCAGAAGAATCGTTACCAGTTCCAAGGACCAAATCTGTGGCGGCAGTGGAATCAGGAACTGTCAAAGCAAGCGTTAATTCAAGGAAATTTTAATTAAATACCATCCTTGTCCACCCAGTTTATTGGTAAATAGTATTTTTTTTTAAATCATGCTGTTTACAAATTCTGCCCCAGCTGTGTTCATATTTGATTATGCTCTGTTCCTATTTGATTTTCCTATTCTTTGTATCATTAAGCTAAGGGAAATAAATAATGAGGAAGATGGTATTTGAGCCTGGGATCCAAGAGACCTGGGTTGGAGTCTCTGCTTTTTGTGTAACCAGGTATGTGGCTGTGGACACGTCCCGTTGCATCTCTCAGCTTCCTCTGCTGCATCTGAAGGGCCCGTCCATGGACCAGCAGCATCTGCATCACCTTGTTAGAAATGCAAACCCTCAAGACTCACCCCAGAACAATGGAATCAGAGCCTGCATTTCAAAAGATCTCCAGCCTGTGTGTCTGGGTGGCTCAGTCAGTTAAAAGGTTAAATGTTTGACTCTTGGTTTCGGCCCAGGTCATGATCTCAAGGTCATGAGATGGAGCCCTGGGTTGGGCTCTGCGCTCAGGAGGAAGTCTGCTTGAAATCCTCTCTCCCTCTCCCTCTGCCCCTCCCACTCATGTTCTCTGCTCTCTCTTCCTCTAAAATCAATTGATCGATCAATCTTAAAAAAAGTAAAAAGATCTCCAGGTGATTTATTTGAACACTGAAGTTTGGGAGGTATCAAGCATTCATGCAGAGATGTCGCTAGCCCCAGAAAAAATGGGCACAGGCCAGGAAGAAATCAGATAGCACAGCCCATGTAAAGGGTCCCCTGCCTGCTCAACCCTGGACAATTGGTGTCTTGACAAAATTCATTCTAGCATTTCCTATTCTGTGGGTTCTCCAAAAGAGCTTGAAATCCGGACTTTTATATGAAATCACTCATTTGTAAAATGTGGTATTAAAAGAAAATTAAACATTGATTGGCAAAACTCTTTCGTCTGAATCAAAACTGCCCCCATGTCCAAACTTATTCAATGGGCTGCCTGAGAGAGCTGGCAGCTGATTCTCACAAACCCAACCACAAAGAGACAAATCGGTTTCATTATCTGATTTTCTTAGAGGTCGGTTTCTCCAGAGCCTGGCAGAGGGTTCTGAGATTTTTGGAAACATGGACCAAGAACTACTTTCATGAGTGTTTTCTGTTGGAGAAAACTTGACTTGAATTGATTTGTTCTGAGATGGCATGTCTCCAACTTACTTAGCCATATATTGATTAACTCAAGCTCTAGGGTGATCCCCAAAGTCCCCAAGAGGGAAGTTCACAAAAAGACACATGTGTTGCTTAAACTAGAGAGCCAGATACTCAGCCAAGAGCAGCACACACATCCCTTAATAGTGTGACTGTCAAGTTCCCGTCACTGTACACTTGCACTGGTGTGTGCTTGCACTGGTGTGTGTGCTTGCACTGGTGTGTGCTTGCACTGGTGTGTGTGCTTGCACCAGTGTGTACTTGCACTGGTGTGTGTGCCTGCACTGGTGTGTGCCTGCACTGGTGTGTGCACTTGCACTGGTGTGTGTGCCTGCACTGGTGTGTGTGCCTGCACTGGTGTGTGCACTTGCACTGGTGTGTGTGCTTGCACTGGTGTGTGCCACCCAATCTCCAGGACAAGCTTCCTCTTCCTGTTCTATAGATGAAGAAAGGAGGATCTGGGTGGTAAGGGCACTTGCCCACTGTCACCCAGTTGGTAAAGGCTAGAGCCAGAACATAAGCCAAGATTCTTGAGCTCCAAATTCTGTGATGCTGTATTTCTACTTGGAAGGTGTCAGTGGTCAAAGAATTTTGAGAAACACTGGGTCAAAACAAGTGTTAAAAAGATCCTTTACTGCGGGACTTGTCAGAGATGTTAATGGGCTAACAGAATCTTCAAGAGAAGGATATGGTATTCCCCCGACTTATTTAGTTATTTAAATTATTTTTTAAAATTTGCATATGACTGGGTTGGTGTACTGTATTGTGAAACATATATGGGAGATGTGGTACTCTATTATTTTCTGAAAATGCAGATTACAGGGATAAATTTGCCCATGATGCCCGAAGTCCTGTGCTGTTCAAAAAAGGAACTCATTGAATTCCCAAATGTGTGAATCTGAAGGAGTCTCATGTCAGTGACCTACCTAGTTGATACCATAGCACCAATGTCTGAATAGGAAAGGAGAGTGGTTCCTCAATGTAATCAAGCATGTTATGACTCCGGATTCAATGTCACTATTGTGAGTGACCTACTATGGCTGAAACACCTAAGGCATCCTGACCCCTCGCCCTGGTAAGGAAGCCTGATGAGGGCAGGATAGCCACCTGCGATGCTCACTTCTGTGTCTTCCCATAGAGTTGCGCCTGGCGCAGGGAAAGAGCTCGGGAACTATTTGTTAAGTAAATGGATGCATTCGCTGAATCCCATTATTCTTGTCTTTACTCTACAAAATTAAGAGTAGCTGGGCAGTGGGTATTTTCATTTCATCTGATTTGCTTTTGTAATCATACTGGTTTGGCAGCCTGAAATAATGCGTACATGGGCTGAATTGAAAAACAAAAAAAAGAGGAAGGGAAACCATCTCAAACCAGGGGCCCCCTGGAAATAGGCGATGCTTTCACAAAGGGCCCAGGTGTGAGGGACTGGGTTTTGTTCATGGAACTCCCAAAGCAGCATCAGAAAGGCAGCTTTCAGGCTCAAAACATAATTTTAAGCCAAAGACTAGGAAGAGAAGTTACCCCAGTGGGTGGATAACAGGGAATCTGGTAAATCTTTGAAGAGGGCAGAGACTGAGGGCTCCAAAGTGAACCCATGAGTGTAGGTTCAAACGTTGGGTAAATTAGCAGATTAAGAGAGGCTAAGAAGGACCCAGAGGCTTCTGGGAAGCAGAATGGACCATAACAGGTGCCTGGAGGATCCCAAGGGGACCTGAGCTTCCGCATATTCATTTCCACATCCCTCTTGCCTACCCCCAGGGCCTTGGCTCCGGCAATGTCAAGAGAAAGTCAAGAGTGAGTACCTGAACCAAGGACTCCGGCATCCATGGTGGCCGCATGGCAAGCCCAGTGCCAGCACTGGCCTACTGTGGCCTAATTGCCCGGATCTGCACATTGTCCAGGAGGACGCCCCCCACACCCTCCATGGAGTGGCCATTCCCCAGGGCTCCAATGCCCTCCTCACAGTCTGGCTGCCAACACATGACATCGGTCGCATCGGTGGCCAGAGGTCATCCCACATGGTCACCCATGTGCCACTGTGGTATATCTTCACAATGGCTCCTCCCATCCGCCAATCTGATGGTGGGAAAGTCTGGGCAAGACTCAGGTTGTTATTGGAATGGGATTAGCTCTTCTGGCAAGTAATTTCTAATAGGAATTTTCTGCAATTTTTACCCTAGCCAACCCTGAAGTCCACTACTCTACCATCTCTTGCTTCCTTTTCCCAAGTCTCACAGGGAAAAGTTAACATTATTGCTCACAAATGCAATGACTGGTTTTTCTGGGCTAGCTCTGATTTCAGATACTTGTTCCTTTGAAATAGGATAACTGGGGACACCTGGGTGGCTCAGTGGTTAAGTCACTGCCTTCAGCTCGGGTCACGATCTCAGGGTCCTGGGATTGAGCCCCACATCGGGCTTTCTGCTCAGCTGGGAACCTGCTTCCTCCCCACCGCTCTGCCTGCCTCTCTGCCTACTTGTGATCTCTGTCTGTCAAATAAATAAATAATATCTTAAAAAAAAAAGAAATAGGATAATTGCAAGGGTAAGGATAGATACTGATTTTAGAACTGGGTCATTAAATTGCTAAGCAACAGCATGGAAATAGGTCAAAGTCAACTTTTCATTATTTTCTTTAGTCAAAACTTGTACACTGGTTCGGGTACACCAGATTCACAGTTAGATAAATTTTAGAAGCAGAGGCTAGACCAAGAGCCAGCCCTGCTTGCAACCTCTTCCACAGTGTTGGGCCCAAACCCCCTGGTCATTGACATTCCTGGTTGTAGCCTCAGGGAATCCACTAGAAAAAGTCAATACTGGCAAGCCCTGAAAGAAGCAGTAAAAGGATTACCGGCTGTAAGATTTGTTTCTGTGGGTTCTGGGACAGCTTCTGCAGCTGAAAGAGAAAACCCAAGGCACTTAACATTAGTGCAGTGCACAGTTGCAAAACGAGAGCAGACACACCAGCTGAGTGGGTGTGTGAACCCACATCTGTGCCAGTTGCCAGTTCAGAACGGACTGGCAGAGGCGACTGGATTTCTACCACCACCTTTCCCCCCGTTGGTGAGACCCTGGGGTATGGACACTAATCCGAAGGCTCTAGCTGAGCTTTTCCAGGGAGGAGCCATCCATAGCCACTTAGACCTGAAGCTAACACAAATAGGACACACGAGTGTCTGATGGCATTTTGACTCTGAGTCTCATAGAGAGATACCAAGACGTGTTCGGAGCACCAAAGGCTCCCTCTGCGGACTAAAAGAACTACCCAACGACACGGGAGGCGAGAAGGATCCTCACCTTGTCTGCTTCTTCACCGCCTGGGGACCTTGTCTCCCCCCAACCCTCTGAGAAGGGGACGGCTCTGGGCCATGGCGTGGGGGTCACAGATGTTTGCTGCATGTATCATTTAGTAGGAGAAGGTAACCAAACAGGGTTTTTAAGTGTTCATTCAGCTTTTTTGAAATAAAAATTGTCCCTAATGGTAAGAAAAGCCCTAGTCAGGCAACAGCAAATCAGGAGAGCGTTCATATGGAGCTCTCTCTCTGAGAAATAGCTTCATGAGAAATTTATGGGATTGACACACATCAGAAAATCATTCCTGGAAATTAAAAACCGTCCCGAGCAGGGGCGCAACTTCCCGCTTCCCAGGCACGGTTTTGCTCTGAGGATCTCTGCTCTCCTTGGAGCAGGGGAACAGGCTGTGATATCCGACACACCTGAGACTAGTGCGACCAGTGTCCTGGGTTAGCCGAATCTGAGGGGCTTCCCGGGACAGGGGACTTCCAGCGCTACAATTGGGAAAATTCCAGGCAGATGGGACCAGCTGTTTTCATGACCTGGAAGCCCAAGGCTTTCGGGGTTGGCCTCCTGGCAGGTCCAGCTCTGCTGCTTAGGGTGGGAAGCCGGGCTGAGGGAGAGTTCAGGGACCTGAGCAGATGGCCCCAGCCTCTTCGTGGTGTCTATAGTTATGGACCGACAGGGCGAGGTGGTGGCACCGCCCCAGGCTTCTCTCGTTGCCTGTACATTGCACAGTGTCTAGGAAGATGGGGCCCAAGCTGCCACCGAACAGACTGCCCCTCAGGACCACCAGGGCCGGGCTGCAGCCCAGCTGCCGGCTCACCACCTGCGCAGCAGGCAGGCCCCAGAGGTGGTCACACACTGCCCCCCAGGGACCATCGTAGAGGATCTCCACAGGGCGGTCGCAACTGCTCCTCCCAGCCGCCAGTCGCACCAGGGGAGGATCTGCAGGGGCCAAGGGCAGAGGGGCTGGAGAAGGTTCTCGCCACTCTCAAATGAGACGGCATTCCCAGCTAGAGAATTCTACCCCAGCCCCAGCCCTCTGGCCACTGGTTGCACAGCCTGTGTCCACGGGGACACCATAGATGCTGAGGGGACCACAGGACTGCGTCTGGTTTCTGAAATTTAGCACCATCTCTACAGTGGTTCACACTCACCGGGCCACTTCTTTATGGGAACCAGGGCCACATGGTGACCTTGTAGAAGACACACTTAAAAAACAACCTTCTGCTTTCTTCCTGTCTGCGGTGTCATTTTCCGTGTGGTTTCTCTACAAATTCAAAACCACTCAGCAGAACACTTGATGTTCAGACTTCTTATTTCTTACCCAGGTCTCGAAAAATGTTATGGAGCTCTCAGAACAAAATTAATTTCACCTTACTTGAATTTTAAAAAGGTTGAAGTATTTATTGGAGGTTGAGGGAGAAGGTTGGGGCTGGGAAACTGAGCAGAAGAGGGGGGAGCATTGCTCCTACCAGAAGGTAAGATGGTGACTGGGTGAAACTTGCCCCTGAACCAAAAGCAGATGAGGTTGGTTCTCATATTCTGAGCCCCAGAAGTTGATCTGGTTCCTGGGGTTCCCTTAGAGTAGGGCCCCCAAAGAGTACTGTATGGGTCAGGCTCTTCCTACAAGACGTCCAGTGATGCCACTGAGGCTGGGTGGGTGGCTGGTTCTCCTTGGAAAGGTCCCCGCGTGGGGACAACCCACCATCTCACCAGCCTTGATTCCCTACAGCCTCAGGGCCAGGAAAACTACATTGGCTACATTTCTGTGGGCCGCCAATGCCAGCCTAGGAAAAGAAGTCACAAAATCTAAGAAAGGAAAAGATACCTGTTGGATGGAAGACACGCGGCTGCTCCCCAGAAGCTGAAGAATCTGCACGTGGGGAAGAGAAAACATCATAAGGACACTCCAAACCATCTGTGCAATTGCCTAGTTGTCTCAACAGCCTCTCCTTCCCAGGCGTGGGTTTGCCTTTAAACAACCCCATCCAGTCTAATCCAATGGTTAGCATGTAAAATGTGATGGTGGCTCACACACGTGTACATACTATTCTGGTGAGGAGTGAGACAACAAGAGAAATAAAGTGGATGTTGGGGTTGGGAGGGTATGGCCCCATCGGCCCAGAGGGCTTCTCAGAACCCAGAGTTCAGCCTTAACATCCAGAGGTCCAGGTGGCGTGGCGGAGTCGGGAAAGTCTGCTGCCACCAGGACCGCCTGCCCCTAGAGCCTCCTGCCTTCTCTGGCATGTAACCCCCTCTGTGGATGGGCCCCCACTTCGGCTCAGGAGCCGGGGTCTCAGTCCTGCTGACACGCAGATCTCCTATATGGGAAGGATGACCTCAAACTTGCCAACACCGCAGACAGCTTTTCCTCGGGGGCCAGAGGACGGCCCCATGGGAATGGGAAACAGCTCCGGGCCTTTGCCCTCCAGGAAAGGTCTGGAGTAAAGAGCATTGTCAAGGAGAGTGAAGGGTGGTGAGGGAGAACTAGTGTGGGGTCCCCCGGCACTAGGTGGCTCGTCACCCATTGGCAGATAAAATGGGAGTGAACTCACGGATCCCTGGACGCCCAGCAGCTGCAGAATCTGCAGAGATAAGGAAAAATGGGGGGAGGGTTAATAATAGAAAGGGGGTGAGGCACCTGGGGGTGTGGCCTGCTAAGCGTCCAACTCTGCTTTTCAGTCAAGTCAGGATCTCAGGGTCGTGAGATGCAGCCCCGTGTGAGATTCTTTCTCCCTCTGCCCCCTCCCAAATAACCAAATAAATAGATAAATAAATAAATAAAAATCTTTTAAAAAATAATAAAACAAAAATGAATTTTGGGGACTTCATCAAGATTAAAAAATAATAGAAATGAGGATGGTTGAGTGGTTTGAAAATCATTGTCTCTGTTCAAAAACAGCCCAATAAGCCTGTGTAAACAGTTGTTCTCATCTCTTGGGCGGTTCTGCTGGTTTTTACAGCCCGGCCTGAACCTCTGAGACAGTGATTCCACGAGAATTTGCCTTAGGAACTAAAATCCCAGTGAAACAGTTAACGTGTCGTACATTCACCGTGTGTCATATGCTTGACTAAGGCTTCATGTGGGATGACTCGTTTCATCCACCGACAACTTTATAAGTACCATTACTGATTATTTTACAGCGGATTAACCTTTGGAGTCCCTTGAGTGGAACGGGGCCCTCCCATATCTGAAGCAGCTGGCACCCCTTCCGGAGTGAGAACAGGAACCTGTCCTGGATGCGGCGAAGCTTTAAGGCAGGGAGACGTTTCCAGATTTCAGGCTCAGCCCAGGCAGCTCCATGACCGGCCCACGAGGGACCCGCCCTCACCTGAGCAGAACACGAGCGTCCTGGTGGTGCCCCCAGTTGTGAGCGAGCCAGCCGCCGGGAAGACACTGCCCCAGGGAGGACTCGCTTCCCGCGCAGCTGACCCTGTCTGGAAGGATGCTGCCTGACCCAGGGCGGACGCTGGCCCCCGGGAGTGTGGACACAGCCGGGCCACAGCCGACCTGTCTGCAGACCACGTGGGCATTGTCTAGGGACCAGCTGTCATCACGCACTGTGCCCCAGGTGTCAGCGTGGTCTTCACACCGGCCTGACCCATTCATCAGCCGCAGGCCTGGGCCTTGGTGGACACTTCCGACGGCCACCAGAAGAACCGGCACTTCTTGGACAGTGTCCGCTGATAACCGGTGACAACAGATCTACTCCCCCCTTCACTTCGTCTCCCTCGTTTATTCTTTCTTGCCTTGGGTGTGACTGCGTTTCTGGAGGTTACAGTTGCTTGCCAGAAGGTTTTGCTCCTTAGCCGGCTGGCTCGGACCCACCTCACTGTGAAGCTGCTTCGTGTCTTTCCTGGTGTGTGGTGAAGTGTTGGTTTCTGGCACTCACAGGGTTTGTTGGGTTTTTCCTGAGAAGCTAACATGCACATACCACTTCGGGTGTGTGTGAGTGTGTGTGTGTGTGTGTGTGTGTGTGTGTGAGATATTCTCTGTGTGCCCTCGCACACGCTGCTCATCTGACAACAATAGCTTTCCTCTGTGTTGTTCCCAGGGTCACTGGGACAACACAGCACATACGTGGGAACATAGCACGTCGCTGGGAACAACAACCGCACATACGTGCGGACGCTCCGGGGAGCGCACAGAACGGTGGTGCCTGGCTGCCCCTCATGCTCGAAGGGCAGGGCTGCAGAAGGGAACAGAGGTGAGCTATGCTCAGAACACAGCCAAGGACAGCTCGTGGCGGGAGTCCGGGGTGGGGAGATTTGGGCTGAGCGGGCCACCCTCAGCCATCCAGACCCATCCCCAGAAGTCATATATGCATCTCCTAGCTTCTTGCCACTCACTTGCCAACCACAGATTTTCCAGGCAAACCCTGGCATCCTCAGCCCCCTCCGCTGGCAGCAGCCCCCTGCACGCCCGCCTCAGGCTGGGGGGCGGGGAGTGTTTCCGGTGGCGACATTTTCTCCCACAGCCATCGCGCTGGAGCATTTCTGAGCTAAAACTCAAGTCAGCGAAGGCAAGTGAAGAGAGAGGAACAGCTTACCTGCTGATGTGGGAACTTCCGTCGGCTCCGGGAAAGATGCTAAGGGCAGAGTGAAACACAAAAGAACAGGGTACCACATCTTACATGCCAAACCTATTTAACTCTCAGTGAACTGTCCGTGGGCCCTCTGCCTTGTGGGTCACGTACAGTTCCTGATTCTAGATCAAGTCCCTTCCCTGGTCCTCACTTGGTGGGGGTTGCCCTGCCATCACCCAGCTGGTGTATGTACCAGCAGGACAAGCAACTGAGGCACATTCTAGAAAATCAGAGCATGGTCGTTAATACATTTTTTTTTCTTTTTTAAGCAGAGAGATTTTAAAGAAAGCATTCCTCGTTTAACCTAACCTACTCTGGTGTTTCCTTTGAAGGTGTGGGGCCATTTCTTTTTCCTAACTCCCCTGCATATTGTATTTTACTCTTGAAGACTCTGCCACAAACAGGGGGGCTGACCTAATTTAAAATATGACAACTACTGAGCTGGTCACAGAGTCAGGGAAAGACCAAGTTAGGTGTTCAGTTTCTTCATTCTTTGTCATTCTGTCAGGCAGAAAGTCGTACACACAGAGATGACTCCTTGCAGTGCTTGGAAGGTGGCCATTGCCTCTAAATAGTGTCCCCCCCATGGCAGGCACTGCCCCGCCCATCCTACACAGAGAGAGCGCTGTGTCCCAGCACGGCCTTAGGAGGCAAAGGCTATTATCCTTCTCCTCATCCGTATCTACAGGAGGAGGCACGAGGGGGTTCAGAGATTTATTCAAGATCCCACAGTTTGTAACTGATGAAGCCAGGCAGATCCAGGGCCTTTGGCTCCCAAACCACTGCCGTACTGCCCACGGTGACTTTGCCAAGATAAGTTACAGTTACTCAATAAAGCATAATAGAAATTACCTGAAATTGGGTGACTTGTATCAGCTGATGGTGTTGAGTGAGGCAGAGAGGCTAGGAGAGACATAGATCAAAAGGTGAGCATATGTCATGTCCTTTCATTCTTCTCAAACCCGAGAGGTTGATCTACTTATTTGAAACAGAAAGGTCCGTCTCTTGTTCTGGGGAGAAATTGTACCCAATCTGGGCAGGTGAGAATGGCCCTGAGTTGCCATGATTGCAAGCACTAGATGTCCTGGGTCACTGGGTTCATTTTTGTCGAGCTGCTGGACATCACAGTGTCTTCCTCACCCCCAAACTGGTCACAGTGCTGGTTGCCTTATGTGGAGTTCCTAACTTTCCAGTTGGTTTGATTTTGTAATTCTTCCTGGGTATGTGGATCTTAACCTCCCAGAGCAAGTGTCAGTTTGCAAAATGCAGAACTAGGTTTGTGTCAAGGACACACACTGGGAGCATCAGCACCTGGAGGGAGCCAAGGAGCCGCAGAGCCAGGATGAAGGTGAACTCTGTCCCCATCACTTCCCACCCACCTCGTGTGACTCTGTCCTCGGTCCTGCTTCCACACCTCCCTGCTCCTTCGGCTCCCAGCCCTGTCCTCAGATGTCATATTCAGCACATGACTTCCACTCCTGCTTTGCTTCAACACTGACTCTGCCCCTTGACGTCTCTCTTCTCCTCTCAGAAGCTTCTAGTACCCCCACCCCTGCTTGCTCTTCTATCCTCTGGTCATTGTGGCCAGGTCTGGCTGATCAACAACTTTGCTGCTTCCCAGCCAGACCCAGAAAGAAGCAGAGATAAATGGGGGCTTTTGAATTCATTTCCAGAAACTCAACTGGGATAAAACTGAGGAATAACTGCGCTGGGCTGGGACCTGGGCTTCCAGCTCTGTGACTTTAAGAGCCATCTCTGTGTCACCTGGGCAACAAGGGGGATGAACCAAAGAGATGTTTCCCAGAGGCATGACTCATCACTGGTGGGACGTGAGATAATTTGAGATGGTGCATCTTCTATTTTAAGAGTTACATATTTGTAAAGCATTATAATTTAAAAATTTAAGTTGAGTTCCATTCTGATTAAGGATATTTTCAGATATGCATGAGCACGAATTGATCAGATTAGAGAGTTCATTGTTCGTTTTAATTTTTTTTAACATTTTAACATTGTTTTATTGCCACAGTGTCTATTGGTATGTATTGTCTGTTTCCGGTAAGTGATCCTGGCTGTCCACGTATGGGGGGAATATAGAACTTCCTTTAAAATGATTTCATGTAAATGAAAGAAGAGTCCATGAGAAAGAAAGTATTGGGGAAGGTGCTGTGGGTGGTGGATGGGCAGAAGCCATGAAGGAGTGTCAGAATGGCGGAAGCTTGGGGAACAGTGACATTAAGATCCCTTCCTGCTCTGTGTGCAGTTGGGAACGCCATTCCGCCCACCCACCTGAGTCAGAATCAGACCCACCTGAGCAGACGACGCCGGCATCTTCGTGGTGGCCACAGTTGTGGGAGAACCAGCCACGGTGCAGACACTGCCACAGCCTGGCTTCTGTCCCCCTACACTCCACGTCGTCCAGGGCAATGGGGCCCAGGCCTTGGCGGAAATATGCCCTGCTGGGGGCCGACACTGCCCTGCCACAGGACAGCTGCCCACACACCACCTGGGCGTCACGCAGGTCCCAGCTGTCATCACACACTGTCCCCCAAGTGCCATTGTAGTGCAGCTCCACGCGGCCCTCGCACCGGTGGCTGCCACCGGCCAGCCTGAGGGCCAAATCTGGGAAAGGAGACACGCCTGGGTCATGCTCTGGACACCCCACCTTTGCCCCTGCCTTTGAGGAAGTGCCTGGGCATTTCCTGGGAGTTGACCAGCTTTCGAGGGCTCTCGGCTCCGACGTGGGGAGGGAGCCACTGAGGGTTAAAGTGGGCCAAGGGTACTTGGGTTTGAGCTCTCACATCTGTGTGATTTTTTTTTAAAGATTTTATTTATTTTTTTGACAGAGAGAAAGAGATCACAAGTAGGCAGAGAGAGAGGGCAGGGAAAGCAGGCTCCCTGCTGAGCAGAGACCCCCCCCCCCGCCCCAGGACCCTGGGACCATGACCTGAGCCAAAGGCAGAGGTTTTAACCCACTGAGCCAACCAGGTGCACCTCTGTATGATTTTCTGAAGGCTGTTTTTAAAGCTTTTTCCCTTAGACAGGATTGTCTACCTGACAAAGGCAAAAGGAGGCCCCTGAAAGGGCGGTGTGGGGTGGGCAGCACCACGTGTACTGACCCTGGTTGTGGCCACTCTTGGTGGTCAGCACCGGAAGCAGGTGTAGAGACGACACAAGTGTGTGGAATGAAACAGGCTCCAAGGCTGTGTCAGGTGCAAGCCCTGCCTGGCACCTTGTGCTGGGCTTTAGTATTGGAAGATGTGACTGGATGTGTTGTTCATAGCCCACAAGTGTGTCTTCAACTACTTTCCTCAGTCAGACCTCAGGGGTAAATGAGGGAGCAGGGGGACCCCTGGCCATCCCTGGTGTCCTGTCCGAGTTGGCCACCCGCCCTCGCCTTCCACCAGGCAGGGCCAGGAACAAAATGACCAAAGGTCTTACCAGTGTTGATCTCGTCTTGCACAATGGACTCATAGGATGCATAAAAGCCCATGTTGGTGATGATTGCGTCACTGTGGAAGACCACCGTCAAGCGATTTAAGGAGGAGGTGATTGTTGGGGTTGTACCAGAACAGAACCTCCCCAGAGAAAAAGATTCACTCTGTGGGCCGTCAAAGACTTCAACGAAGTCGTACGGACAGCCGTAGAAGTTCTCCAACCTGTGAAGGAACAACATCACTCAGAATCCGTCTGCTGGAGCTTTTCCTCCCCCAGCACTGCACAGATGGGTTCAGGAAGGGATGGTTCTGGAAGAACCAGCTGAGACCCACATCTTTTCACACAGTTCGGAGGGAAGTATGACCCTGCTGACAGGCAGTACGTATCTTCCTGTTTATAAAAACCTTCCGCTTTGTAAAGTTTCCATGAAATTGCATTTCCTAAGCATGTATTATAAGCACAGAGACCAGAATTTAAGTGGTATGGACAGGTGTTTGGTGAAAAGTAAAATTTCTCTCACCCCTGACTGGTCCCTCTGGCTTCATTCTGCTTCTAAGAAGCAGCTACTATAAACAGTTTCCTTCCAGATAGAGTCTAAGTCCAGATGTCAGTCGCTGCCCTGTTGTCCAAGGTTTTCTTGCAGACCATTCCATGGCCATATACCCCTAGTGTGTGGTGGACCCAAATGTGTTTAACAATCCCCTACTGATGGCGATTAGATCGTTTCCAATCTATGCTCCTATAAGAACATCGCCATGATTACCCTCAGCACATGAGACTATCAGTGGACTCATCATCTTCTGGAACTGGAATTTCAGCATTAAAAGACTTTTGCCTTTAAAGTTTCGATCAATGCCACCCAATGGGCCTCTAATGCCTTCCTTGCTTTGGAGAATTAACTGTGGAAGGTGGCTTTTTTCTATTTGTCTGTTCATTTGTTTCTTGGGGCTAGGGGCAGTGGGTAGGATAACTATGTTTATTTTTTATTTTTATTTTATTTTATTTTATTGTGTTATGTGAGTCACCACACAATAACTGTGTTGACAAAACAGCAAAGTGGGAGACAGTTACTCACTTCAACACCTCAAATGTGAGCTTGACATGAGCCCTGGCGTCCACGTGGATGTCCCAGGCACACACCACATTTATAGGGTATTTCTTAGGATACCAAGGGCTGGAGAAGGAGCCCGAATTATTTGTGAGCAAACCGCCACAGTGGAAGTTTTCATCTGCAAGAAAGGGCGAAGAGACCCCATCAGGAGGAGGCGCTGACCCGTGCTGTGTTTTCCGAGGGGTCAGCAGGCACGGGGAGGAGGAGCGAGGGGAGTTTACTCCAGGGCTGGTTTGCCTGATAAGAGAAAAGTTGGTTTGGGGGACACCTCTGAGTTTTTGACGCTGTTCTCTGTCAGATAAGAGGGTTACACCAGTGTCTTCGAGCTTTCCGGGCTTCGTGAGGGGAAATGACACTGCCATAGGGTTGGCAGGGCTTTCTGGACCTAGATGCACAGACAGAGCTGAGTGCGTGTTTTCGTGGAAAGTCACAAGGACAACGCGAGCCTAAAGCATCCTTTCTCAGGGTGCGTCACTGGCTGGTTGTGTTGGAAGATGCCTTGTATTATATATCAATCCCAGCTGACGTCAGACACCCACGTCCCATAAAACATCCATTTTATGGCTGAAATACTGGGTTTGGTGCGAAATTTAAATTAAAGGCTCCTCGGTGTTGCAGCTTCTCACATAGAAGAGGAAGAGAGCACCATCTAGCTGCGGGAAGGGTTACACTGAGGATAAGGCAAATCTAAAACCACGCGAAGGGTTTCTGTAAAGTTGACGCACCTGCAGCAGGACCATCACCAGCGGAGTCTGTGAAAACACACAGAGGAAGAACGATACGTGAGCCAGGATTTTTATCCAGGATATTCCTCAAAAATACTGACATTCAAAGCTGTGGCTGCTCTGGGCACAGGTGGCTGTCTCTTTAAGAGCTGGGCCTTCTGCACACTAAGGGTGCGGATGGGAGAGGTTGGATACAGCTCCTTGAGGGCTGGCCTGGGGTTCCCATTTCCTTGCTCTCCTCTGCAGCATCTGTGGCATGATCATCCCTGCAAGCAGCTAGCCCTCTATCACAGCAGCAGCCGACTCACCCCAGCCCTGGGGCCCACATATGGCATTGCTGGTGAACCTGAATCCTGCCCTCCCCCACCCACCCTCTCCCAACCCTCTTCGGACAGCCAGCGCCACCAATAGGTCAACACCAGTGGGCTGTGTTGCTCTGGTTCATGAGCAAAAGAAGGTTTATGCTGTCACCTGTGCCCGGATTACAGGATTAACCAGTAACCAGGGTCACAGACGTCACTCGGAGACCTGACAGCAGTTGAAATGTACACAAGAGCGACTGTACCTTTTGGTCCCACTTTCGGATTCCCATCGACACCTACTCAAAGACCGAAAGAAAGAAAGAGTAAGACAGTCATGTGGTTCACAAAAGAAAATCAGGTCTTTTTTTTTTTTTTTTTTTTAAGGATCAAACACATTCTTTGTGGGCAGTTGGGAATGTAGTACCAAACCCGTCAATGCTGCTTAAGGATTGGCAGCCAGGTCAGGGCCCACTGGGTGCAGGGGCGCACTCTGCTTTTCAGCCTCAGGATATTTCATCTAATTGCCGGAGATACTAAAACTGAAAGCAAATTAAAAAAATATGGTATTTCTTTCCTTTTGCTCAGTTATGGGGCTGGAGGACATTTAGTAACCGAGCCAAGCTCAGTCTTCCCTACAGTATCTTGGAGACGATACTGAGCAGAGAAGGAACCATGTGTGACCTTAGATATGCTTTTGTTGTCTTGTCAGTAAGGTGAGAATGTAATAGTCTCCTTTTTTAGAGACTGGGAAGGTCAAATGAGAGTCTGAATGCACTGGTTTCAGCGTGGAGCTTGGCACACGCTAAGCCGTCTTTGGACACCAGCTACTACTCCTACTCCCCCTACAGGGGACTGTCACCAGCACTGTGGCATGTTTGTCCAGGAATGGGAAGTCTGATGATACAAATCCTCTATCTGACTTTCACAACTTTTAAGCGGTGGTGGGGAGACCTGGCACATTTTACAGACACACTAATTGAAAAGAAGGAAATCTAACTCTTAAAGTGACTTAGAAAGCTGGCTTGAAGTCCCAGAGTCCTTTCTGAGTAATGGCTTTCTGGCATTGAGCTCTCCCTTCCCAGAGGCTGCTGATGTGCGAGACCCTCTCCGAGGTGTGCCGGGCCCTACAGGTCTCACCTGAGCAGATGGCACTGGCATCCTCATGGTGCCCACAGTTGTGGGAGAACCACCCGTTGTGTGTGCACTGCCACACCTTGGCTTCGTTCCCTGTGCACTGGACGTCGTCTAGCATGATGTGGCCAGTGCCTCCATCAAAGTAGCTCTGAGCTGGGGCAGATAAGGCCTCACCACAGCCAAGCTGCTGGCATACCACCCTGACGTCTGTCAGGTCCCAGCTGTCATCGCACAGAGTGCCCCAGGTGCCATTGTAGAAGACCTCCACCCGGCCCTCACACCTGTGGCTGCCGTTCACCAGTCTCAGGGATGCACCTGCAGGACAGGAAAACAGAAGCTTCTGAGCTGTGGTGCCGTCTCCAAACTCTAGGACCTTCTGCAGTTACAGAATGCCCAGCACCTGGGCACGTTTTTCTCACTTTAGGCTATCGGATTCTAGGTAGGGTGGCCTTGTGTCCTGATTTGCCTAGAATAATCTGGATTTACAACGGTTGCAGATCAAGTAATGCCTCTTAATTATTCTAGAGTCCCTTTTTAAACCCTCACAAGTATCCTGATTAGAGAATAAATTGCACAGTCACCCTAAGCATAAACCACTGAGAGCTCTAGAATATTCCCCATGCCCTGCTACAGAATCCAAGAGGTTTGTTCTGGGTGGTTTTTGTATGGAATTCAGTTGGAATCAGGTGGGCTGGTAGTTGTAGTTTGAGGTAGGTTTGTTGTAGAAGGATTTGCCCTACTGCGTCTTCCCTTCCTTTGGAAAAGAGAGACCCTCGTTCAGGTCCTCCATCTACACACCCAGCGAACGCAAGGCATGAGGCCCAACCCTCTGTTTCTTCAGCCAGGACGTTGTGGTGGTGGAAAATGACAGCGAGTGGCAGAGCAGGGTGAGGGGTCTGCTGGGGCTGTTAGTGTCAAAGTGGATATTTCTCAGGATGTCATTAGTGACGGTGGACCCTGTGGGTCAGATTTAGAAAGCATCTACTCTCATAAAGAGAAAGGACACAAATTAGATCTAACATCCCTCCAAGGTCCATGTCAGGATACCCACCGTTCTCCCTTTCATCTTGCTGAATGGCGTTGTACAGAGCATAAAACCCTGTGTTGGTGATCATGGCATCACTTCTGAACACCACAGTCATGATGTTTGAAGAGGAGAGGAACGAGAGCTCTGTCCCAGCACAAAATCTGCCCATGGAGAGTGAGGCAACTTGCCGCCCATCGAACACTTCCATAAAGTCATAAGGGCATCCATAGATGTCCTCTAATCTGAGGAGGTAAAGGCACATTAAATCTCCCCAAGGAAATCTGCAGAAATGACTTAAATAAAATCATTTGTACCATTTGCAGTCATTGCTGTTGCCTCCTTCCAACCACATGTCCCGCTAGTGGACTTGGTCCCTTAAATATTGCTTGAATTTGTCCTTCTGTCCTTCCCTCTGGGAACTGGCTCAGGTCAGTCAGCCTTTCTCTGTGTCTCTCTGGCTCTATTTTAGTGGCCGCCTTCTGGTATCTTGGCTTTTGGTCTTTCCCACCATCTTCCTCTCTACCCTGAGTGTATCCTGAATGTCCCCTGACTCTTTATTCAAGCCTGCCACTCCCTGGGGTGGGGGCAGGCATCCATAGGGTCTCACTGAGTAAAACACATAATGGGATCTGGAACAGGGAGAAATGGTGCCTCCTGTCAAAACTCCCAGGGCCTGCTGAGTAGGAATCTTCCCTCCCATGCCCCAGACCGTCCGGTTCCAACCAAGCTGTCCCTGACCATCCTACCAAATGCGGTCCTCACCCCCTCTATTCTCTATCCTATCTATAGGAGATCTCTATCTATACCATCTTTACCTATCTATACCTATCTCTATCTATACCATATATGTATAAACATTCTTCTTCATAGCACATATCAACTTAACACTAATGGAACCTGTCCCCTGAGTTACTACTGGTTTATTCAAGTACTATTTGCGTCTCCATCTAGAATATATCCTCCATGAGGATAGAGACCTGTCTTGTTTGACACTAGAAGTCTGCTCCTAGACCAGGGCCTGCACAGAAAGCAGGTTCAATAAATATACTGTAAAGAATATCAGCTCTAATCTAACAGGATAAAAATGGGAAGTGTGCATTTTGACATTAACACAATAGTAAGTGGCCCTTGAGGCATGCATTGTAGGGGCTCGTTGTGTAAGACGTACACAGTTACACTTGTACATGTTATAGATTCACTGAATTTGAAAACCGGTTTATTGAAGCACGCATCTGTTCCAATGAAGGAAGAGCCAAGTACCTCAAAACAACCCCTTCCCCCAACTTTTTTTTGAGAGGGAGCGAGAGAGAAGGAAAGAGAGAGGGCGATCACGAGCTAGTAGGGGGAACGGGCAGAGAGAGGGAGAGACAATCGCAAGCAGACTCCCTGCGGGGCATGGAGCCCAACACAGGGCTCCATCCCAGGACCCTGAGATCACGACCTGAGCCGAAATCAAGAGTCAGATGCCCGACCGATGGAACCACCCAGGAGCCCCGCGACCCATTTTTAAAGTAAGAAAATAAAGGATAACATTTATATGTAGGGCAACAACAGTGTGACCACAACAGGAGACACTGCAATCTGAGAAATGATTTCACGAGAACAGGACACACTTGACTTAGCAAGAATGAAATGGCATATTTTAAAATATGGATATAATTTTTGCAGATCGAGTGTGAAGACAGTTCCGCATAGAAGCTGAAATAGAAAAAAAAAAAACAACCCAAACAATGCAAGCTTCAAGCAGGGGTTCTCAGTCTCAGAGATATCCACATCTGGGGCTGGAGATTTCTTTGCCGTGGGGGCTGTCTTGGGAAATGCAGGACACTTAGCCGAGTCCCTGGCCTCCACCCATTGTGTGACTCTGTACTCCCTGCCCCCACCTGAACAATGAAAAAGTGCCTCCAGGCACGGCCAAATGTCCTGTGGGGTCTGTCCTTGTCAGCTGAGCCTCACTGGTGCAAAATAACTAACTTCGTGTCCTTAGACACAAAAGGCAAATATCAATAATTCTAGGCTTAAAAACATCAAAACCTGGAAGTCAGTAACTAAGCTCTGACTGTAGGCAACACAGGAAGCAGCTCCTTGATTTGTAAACCCTGAAATTATAGTAGGAAATTTATGTTGGGAAAGTCACCTTGAGACCGTGGGAAGAGTGGGTCAGTACAGCTGTTTGCAGTAAGCATTGTCCCGAAGTGAGAAAACAACGCTCTGAGCCCCTAAGTCATAGAACTGTGGGTTTCATAGATTTGCATCCACCGTACCAAATCTGCTCACCTTGCTTTCACTGAATTCATGGGTGTGGAAGGAAGGAATGAAAAATACATTTCCCTCACAATAGACAATGCTCCCTGATACTGGTTTTTGTTCTCCCCCTTTGAAAGGAACTTTGGCCATCGGGTAAAACGGTCAGATGCATCCCTCACTCCACTGCAGACCTATTTCCCCTTTGAGGATAGCATTTAATCATCCCGCCCCTGGACGCCTGAGGCTGACACGCCGTGGTGGGAACAGTGGTGGAGGTTTGGCACAGACTGTGAACAATGTCAGGAAGAGGGAATGACCCAGATGGGACCCGATGTAGAAACATGAAACCAGGTTCAACATTATCAAGAAAAACAACATTTCCATTAAAAAGTGACTCGGGTATATGGATGTGTATATGAATATGTAAATATATATGCATATAAATGTGCATTAAAATAGGATACATTCCTTTAAAGATGGGTACAGGTAGAGAAAGAAGTAGGAATGAATGAATTGAGGCTGGTTAATCTGGGAAAGAAAACTCTTAGTAGGGGCATGAGAGATATTGAAGTAGAAAAAGGCAAAGCTGCTTACTTCAGGCTTGGGATCACCAGTTCTATGTGGAACTTCTCAGCCACATGTATCACCCAGATGCACTCCATGTCAGTGGGGTAGTTCGTTGGATACCAAGGACTGGAGAAGGAGCCCAAGAGGCCTGAAATTAGTCCTCCACAAGAGTTACTTCCTCCTGTGGGCAGACAAGAGACCACTGGTTGGCTCCCAGGCGTGCACCTTGTCTTTTCCCAGGAGTAGAATCCAGAATTCCATCAAGCTCAACAGGGAATCGCAAACTGGGAAAGGATCATGGTGTTGTAGACATTGTTGTAGCTTGGCTGGTGTGTGGTTGTACCCCTGAGAGGGAATGAGGGGAAGAAAAGATGTGTGGCTGGTACCAGGGCAGGACCCCATGATTATAGGTGAGACTGGAAATGGGATGGGACATGTCCATGGCAGGCGTGGGGTGTCCAGCTGATATATCATTAACGCTCTATATCATTAATGCCCAGCTTCCTGCTGTGCAAACCAGCTCAATTAGCGTAGACCATCCATCTTTCCCTGAGGGCTCCGTCCCACTGATTCCTTCCCCTCAGGCAGCCAGGACAGGCGGACATCTAGTCTGCTCTCATGAATTACCAAGACTGATTCCATCCTCGACAGGTTATACTTTCAATGAAAGAGAGTTACCTTGCGGTGGAGGCCCTTGAGGGATGGGAGCTGCAAAAACCGAAACCAAAGAAGATCAGGAAGGAGCTCAGCATCACAAAAGCATCTTACCGTTACATACACATGAATGCACCTGTTACTACCTTGAGCCCACTACACTGGGCTCCCTCATTTCTCTTTTCTCTCCCCTTCTTTCAGTGATTCACCAAGAAACCACAGACAACGCACAGCTACGTGACTTGCTTTCTCTTCTGCCCTAGGGTCCACCAAGCCCCGGGCTGTCCTGAGATCGATCAGTCATGAGGTGTCACCCACAGTAACATCGCTGGGCTTATGAGCGCACACCACTGCAGAACGTGCAGAAATTCATAGGGACAAAGGACAAAAACCAGACAGCTGAGAGCCTGGGTGGGGAAAGGACAAGCCTTCCATTGAGGTCGTCAGGCCCCAGGGGGTTGGGTGGGGGGAGTTTCCTCCTTTCTGGCGTCCTTTTGGCTTTGATTTCTGTGAAGCATGTATTTCTGTATTCTAGATGTGTCCTTAGGCACCACTGCCTGGCAGGTCGAGGACAGGGCAGGTTTTGAAAGCAGGTGCTTATCAGAGTTTTACACCAGGGATTAGTGGGCATGGAGTTTGAAGCCTATGGGTCAGGTGCATTTGAGCTTTTCTTTGTCTCCGTGGTCCTTCCTGGGCCGCAGAGCAGTGAGGACAGCGACCCCTCTGCTGTCCTTCCTTCTTAGTCCTTCGCCAGGAAGGGTGCGGGACAGCAGCGGAGTAAATTTCTTCTGACATAAATTTGTCTCAGAAGCAACTCTCT